TTTTTATTGCATGCCTGAAACTGAACCGCTTGAGCTGGATGCATTCGCATTGTCACATGATTTCCTACACAATTATTGCAAACAAAACTGTTCTCTGTCATTTGCTTACCCTTGATTTTTATTGTTATTTCTTGGTATAAGTTTTTAGTAAGATGCACTGCAATACTTTTACTACTTGCTAATACTTTAATTTAGGAAGCATCATTTTCACTAACCTCAACTTCCTTTAATAATCTTGCTCTGGCCTAGTTTACAGTTATACCACAAATAATTTGGTCTTTAATTAGTGCATCTGTTAGCTGTGATAATTCACACAATTTAGGATTGCTAGGTAGGCCAATGACATAATGGTCTCCTATGACATATAGTCAGTGATCTCACTTGGCAGCTAGTTTCTTGCAAAGAAAATGTGCTGTTTCCAGATAGACAAGGTGGCTGAGATAGTATCTTTATTGGACCAACTTCTGTTGGTGAGCGAAACAAGCTTTAGAGCTTACACAAAGCTCTTCTTCAAAGGATTTCTTGAATAGTTATATCTAGTAGTTTGTAGTCTTCTTCATGCTCCTCTGGAATGTACTGTAGATCCCCGGTGCTTCTGGGCCCACCAGCAGCATGGAGAATTTCACCCTCTACAATTTCTCTCCTATACCACTTGCTTTCAGAAAAATGTGGAAGGGCCGCGACTAACTTCAAGTTCCTTTCCATACTAAGGGATTCAGGTGGCTTAATTTGCTCAATTTTTGCCAACCATTTAATTTTCTTTGCACACCATGTAATAAAAGTGTTTCATAGATGGGAATATTGATATGAGATTGATCTTTATTGCCAGGCCCAAACACATGACAGTTCAGAGTTACAAAATGTTATACCCGTCACAAGGCAAGGGTCAGAATAATTGATTCCAATGGTTATTCAGTATTGTCTATCCCATAAGAACATAAGAATGGCCATACTGGGTCAGACGATAGGTCCATCTAGTCCAGTATCCTGTCTTCCAACAGTGGCCAATGCCCGGTGTCCCAGAGGGAATGAACAGAACAGGTAATCATCAAGTGATCCATTCCCTGACACCCATTCCCAGCTTCTGGCAAATAGAGGTTAGGGACACCATCCCTGCCCATCCTGGCTAATAGCCATTGATGGACCTATCCTCTGTGAATTTATCTAGTTCTTTTTTGAACCCTGTTATAGTCTTGGCCTTCACAACATCTTCTGGCAAAGAGTTCCACAGGTTGACTATGCCTTGTGTGAAGAAATACTTCCTTTTGTTTGTTTTAAACTTGCTGCCTATTAATTTCATTTGGTGACCCCTAGTTCTTGTGTTATGAGGAGTAAATAACACTTCCTTATTTACTTTTTCCACAGCAGCCATGATTTTATAGACCTCAATCATATCCCCTCTTAGTCATCTCTTTTCCAAGCTGAAAAGTCCCAGTCTTATTAATCTCTCCTCATACGGAAGCTGTTCCATTCCCCTAATCATTTTTGTTGCACTTTTCTGAACCTTTTACAATTCCAATATATCTTTTTTGAGATGGAGTAACCACATCTGCACGCAGTATGCACTCCGGGGCTGGGGAGGCTGGGGCGGCGCCGCCCGCCTTCCTGTTGCTCCAGGGCTGCGGGGGCTGGGGCCACACCATCCGTCCTCCTGGTACTCTGGGGCTGGGGAGTCTGGGGCCGCGCCACCCGCCCTCCTGGTGCTCCAGGGCTGCGGGGCACTAGTCTGGGGCAGGGCCGTGGTGGGGGGGTCTGGATCCAGCAGGGGGAGCACAGAAGAGGCGGGGCTTCAGATGGAAGGGGCGGGGCCTCAGATGGAAGGGGCAGGGCTGGGGGCTAGCCTTCCCCAGCCAGCAGTTCACATACCACCCATGTTCCTTTCCCTCATCCCATGTTCTCTTATTGGCCATCCCACACCACAAAGCCCCAAATCTTACATTTCACAGCCTTTGGGGCTCTTCCTATGCTACTCCAATGAAAGTTGTCTGAATTGTGTTTCATAAGAGTTTAAGGCCAAAAGATCATCCAGTCTGACCTCCTGCATACAACAGGCCGTTACATTTCACCCAAATAGTTCTGTGCTGAGCCCTGCACTCATTGATGTAAATGCACAAGAAGAGGCCAAGGCACCACTTCTAAGATTATTGTTATTGTTTTTCTAATTACAGAAAGAACTTTTATAAAGCATCTTTGTACTCCACAGTCTATTTCTTGGTAGGCAGGATATATTTATGATTATGCAGCCACATAGGGTCCCGTACTTCCAGTAGCCCCACATGCACACATCTGACTCACCAGGCTGGGATGTCAGCCTCAGTTTCTCCATTCAGAGGCCTGTCTGACTCCACTGTCAGAGATTAATTCCCCAATTGTCCTCCTTCTCCCTGCTTGGAAAGTAGCCCTCTGGCTCCACCTCCTGGCTTCCAACTTAGAAGGGTGAGTCACCAGAAGCAGCCGAACCTCTCATGTAGGCGGCGGGAGCCTGTAGGAGGGTGGCAGACAATAGGTGACCTTTAGGGATGAGTGTATTGTGATGCAAAGAGGAGGAGCCCATATGAGGCACTATGGGTTACTTGGCAGAGGGTACCACACGCCCCACAACCAAACTTTGAACTCTCAGAGGTGGTCCTCACGTGTTAACCCCACCTGTTGAGCTGCCTCTGTTCCGCTGTGCATCATCAGAAGAGTGGCACACAGACAGCTCATGTACGACAGCACAAACACCATAGTATTAGGAAGGAAGAGAAGACCACCCTATTAGATTACCTTGCTCTCTTTGAGATTACAGTGCATCAAGCAGTTGTGATGCAACTGGCTCACTAAGCACAAGATATAATCAGCAATAATCCTGAGTGAGTAGCAGAGAAAGAAAGTTAAGAGTTCCCTGGAAATTGAATAATCAGGGGAAATGGAAGTCAGGTATTCTGATTATATGACGGTGAGCATGGTATAAATGCAAAGGATTTTTTAAGTACCATTATTTTTGTTTGAAAAGAGATCACAAGGCCAAAGGGGAATGGGTGCGGGGAGGAAGGAAGGAGGGAGAGAGACATAACATTGACAGATGGGAGAAAATTTAAAATGAAATAAGAAAAAAGATAAATGAACATTAAATAACATAAATTATAGAGGGGGCAAAGACTGTTTACAGAAAATGTCAGCTTCTGACCAAAAATGGGAGCAAATAAGAAAGGAAATAAATAAGAAGCTAAACAATTATGAAAGGAACAATTTTGCAGAAAAAAAGGATGAAAGGTGGATGGTGTTGGAGAAAAAAAGCTGAGGGTAATTAAAAAAATTAACAAACAGAAATTGAAAGAGGAAATATATGTTATGATGCTATCTAAAAAGGAGTAAAAGAGAATAGGTAAAAAAGCAAGGAGAAAAAAGTGACCAGGTAAAAGGGTACTATCAATCTATTCTTACAATATTCAAAAAAATTATTTTAATCTATTTTTATAATCATTCCTTGGATACTTTAAACAGAAATGTCTTCTCATTGAACAAAATTCCCTTTGCCTCTCTTGATATGTACTCACTAGTTTCATTGCAGGGTTATTCATAATGAAAACTTTTGAATTTTTTTAACAAAATGAAGGTTTTACAGAAAAACATCTGAAATGATTGCATGGACTTTGCAAAGAGAAGCAAGAAAAAACGGTAGCTTTTGTTTCTGTATTACACTTGCTGCCAGGTTTTTATACAAATGTATACAACGTAAATTCTTAAAATACAACAAAGGTAATCATACAGAATCAGTTTGCAATATAAAGTTAGAATTCTCCCTTGTGACGTATTGTATGTTTTAACACAGTTGGGCTTGATGTCATGGAGTCAATAATTTGAAACGTTTATTCTTCACACTGCTTTTCTATTTCTTTACATAAACATTAAAAATAAAAAAATACATCAGAGAACCATATGAATGCAACAGCTGAGGATCTAGTTATTGGCTGTATCAAAATTCAAGGTTATATTCATGGGTAGTACATTTTTAACCAGGTGGCATTTCTCTCTCATATCATCACTGTCAGTATGTTTAATTTCTCAAGAGATAGGGAATAGAGTTGGATGACCATGAAAACCTTTTATGTGCGGAGCCAACCATATTGCTGGTAAGTGGGAGTAATACTACTAAATAAAGTAAGTGGAATTGCATCAGTTTATTTCAGTGAGTTTGTCTTAATGCATCTTTTAATAATATCTCGTTTTATCACATAAAGGGTGTGTGTATTATAGATTGCTTTATGGCCCTGATCCTGAATTTATGCACCTAACTGTACACACGGGAGTACTGGTATGTGTAAATATGGAAATAAGTGCAGTAACACAACATTGTTTTTTTCTTGATTTTTCCCTCTCTCTTGGCAAAGAAAAGGGAGGGGAGAGAAAAAATAAAAAGAAAGAAAACATAGGGAAATATTTGGTTCCTGGAGGGGCAGGAACAGTATGAGCTGATCCAGTTCCTATGCTCAAACCAATGGCTATTTACAGCCAAACCCCGATGTAGTTATTTCAACTAATTCAGCTTCATTTGGCTCTTTTGGGGTTTTTAATGGTCTTAATCCGATTAAACCGCATAGAGGTCATGCTGCGGGGCAGCACGGCCCGGGGGGCGGGTGGGTAGAAGGGGCAGTCCTATGGGGGGCACAAGGGATGATCGCTCTGTGGGGCAGCATTGGGGATGGAGGCAGCAGCGCTGAGGGAGGGCATTTGCTAGAGCTGGGGCAGCGGGGGGGCATTTGGCATGAGGGTGGAGGGAGGCAGCTGCTGGGGAAGTTTTGGGGCTAGAGGAGATGGGTGACCCTATTGGGCCGGGGTGAGACCAGCGGGGGGCAGCAGGGCCCCGTGGGGCTGCTCTGAGTGGGCACCTCGCGGGCAGAAGAGGCTGTTAGTAGCGGACGGACAGGGCAGGCGTGAGACACCGCGGGGACTGCCGATGACTCCCAGGCTGCAGGCAACCAGTGCTTACCCACCATGCCCCGCGGTTCGGAGAGCGAGGGGGAACGAGCGGCCCTTTCCCGCGAATTCAGTTCAAAGGAGGGGGAGGGGGAAAGCACCGAGCGGCGAAGCGCACCGACCAACCAAACTCTTCCAGAACCATCTGTGCGTCACGCAGGGGCGGGACTACCGTCGGCCAATCCGTCGGTGCGGCGCCATCCTCGCAGCCAATGGGCATGCGGGGGAGGCGGGAGCGGTGTCGGCGTCGGGTTCGGCTGGTCGCCCGTAGAGCTGAGGAGAACGGAGCGGAGGAGACTTAGAGGAGTTGGAGCTCGGTGCTTCCCCTCCCCCCTCCTTACCCCGCCCGCCCCAGCCGCCCCCCTCCCTCCTCGCTCGGTCTCCGGCCCGCCGGGGCCCGCTCTGGGGAAAGGCCCATGGCTCCTCAGAAGCACGGTGGAGGCGCGGGGCCCAGCTCGGGCTCCGCTGGCGGCGGCGCCGCCGGAGGAGGCGGTGGAGGAGGCGGCGGCGGGGGGTTCGGGGGCTCCGCGGCTGCCGCGGCTCCGGGCGGTAAATCCGGTGGTGTTCCAGGAGGCGGCGGGGGAGGAGGAGGAAGCGGTTACTCGGGAGGCTCTTCGGCCTCCTCGGCTGCTGCGGCGGCGGCTGCAGCGCTGCCCCCTGTGAAGAAGCCGAAGATGGAGCAGATCCAGGCCGACCACGAGCTCTTCCTACAGGCCTTCGAGAGTGAGCACCGGGAGCGGCCGCAGGAAGGGAGAGGGAGGGGCTGGGGGGAAGAGGAGGCTCGGGGGGTGAGTGCAGGCGAGAACGGGGCGCAGGGAGGCGGGTAAAGGGGGACGTCGGGGGGAGGAAACGAGATCGCACCGTGGGGTAGGGCGTGGGGCGGGAGGTGAACCCGGGGCCGGACTTCCCGGAGGGAGGAAGGTCCGGGGACTAGAGAGGTTCTTCGCATGGAGCGGAAGCGGGGATCGGGGGTGGCTGGGGTGCGGGTAAGCCCGAAGTGGCAGGCGCTTCCTTCAGATTCGGGGCCCCTTTCGGGGGACGGCGCATTTGTACCCGTCCTCTGCTGAAGCGCCTTCTTGGCGTTGAATTTGGCCTCTTGGAAACGGTTGATCTGGGAAGATTTCAAAGGCGATTTATTTTTGCTCTTCCCCAGCCCGAGGACGCTTCTCGGGAGGGAGGGGGTATTTGCGCCCCTTCGGTTGTTGCGCCTTTGGGTGATTTTTGCGTCTCAGGCTGTTAAGGGAAGATTATGATCCTCAGTTAACTTAATTTTGCTGCTCTGTGCGAAAGAGCATTATAGTGGGTTATTTTAAGTTGGAAATTTAAGTCACCCCCCATCCCGGTGGTTCCAGGTAGGCAGAGAGTCACTTTGGATGCAGGATACAAGCTTGGTCCGAACACCCAATCTAATAATTAACTTTTACATTGTGCCCTAGTATCCCAAGCCCTGCAGTCTACATGGTTTGAAGGAAAAATAAAATATTAAATCCAGAGGTTGTTTTGGGATGAGCTTGTCACCACTGCAGTTATTTGTAATACATAGTAGTTATCATTTTAATGTTTCTTGTGAGGAGTCTTGAGATCATTGACTAAAAATTCTTTACAACTGCTAATTAACCACATCAATGCAGATGGAAGGAATGTAAATACTGCATTAGGTCAAGTGATGTAGGGAGGATTAAGTGACTTGCTCTGGATCACAAGTGATCAGTGGCAGGGCTCAGAATATAACCCAGAATACTTGCTCCTAGTCCCTGCTCTAACTACTTGAGAAGATGGTTTTAAATTTGGGCATGTAATGAGTAGAAATAAGTAATACTGTATAAGTTATACTTGAATGTCTAATTGTGAATTCAATTTTATAGCACTAATGTGAAAAGAATACAATAAAAATTATTAGGATTTATGTATAACCTAGCAGTTGTGTATATCATAAACACTTGTGTGGATTTTCTTTTTTAAGGTAATCTAATTGAAGAGGATAATTTATTTTTGGTTTTGACTTGACAGTATGGTAGGATTGTGGAATATATGTGGTTTAATAGGTATTCTTGGAAAAGTGTCTAATAAAGTATTGCTATACTGTGTTTTTTCACTCCTCACTCATTCCTTTAGGAAGTCAGAGTTTAAATTCAAGAAGTCATAGTCTGTTTTTAAATGAAATATTAAATCTCTGTGACCGCACTTGGTTTTCTCATGTCTTTCTATGTGGTAGTTATTTTTTATTTTTGGGTTGCTAAGGTGTTAAAGATTCTCTTAAAAGAATGATGACCATAAAACATTTTTATTTTCTATGATACATCCTTAATTTTTTCCCTTCGGTTCTGTTTTTTAACTTGGTCCTAAGCATAGTAAAACCTTAATTATAATCACAGTTTTTAATGAACACAAAGTGAAATCTTTCAGTTTCTCAGTTGGGATATGCAGAATTCAGGACTGAGATTACTTAAGGCTTTATGTGGAACTGATTTTTAAAATAAAGTACTTACAAGTAAAACTGAATTACATTTGTGAAAATTAATGTGAACAGAATACTTTCTGTAGTGCACCGTCCTTCTTGTTCATTTGCTATTTTCAAAATTCATCAAATCACAATATAACTTCCAGTCACTAGAACAAATTAGGTGTGTCAGGAATATTAAAAATAAGCGGCTAAAACTTGTATTAAAATATTGAGATGGCTCCCTTACTTTTAAAAATAATCTTGTGGGGGACACAGTGGGACACAGGAGTTGTATAGGAATTTTCCACTCATTTCACGCACTCCAGTTTACTCTGATTTTCCCCATTTGTGTTAAATTGGTGAATATTCTTATTTCAGTTTAAGTTACTTATTCCTTTCTATCTTAAACTGATTCTTAATTGAATTAACCTAAACTGAAATAAGAGTTCTTTGTGTAGCCTCTTGAGCTGGTTTAATTAAGTTGGTTTAAAATGACACCTGTATTTTGACCAGTGTATCTTCTCATGTAGACAAGGCTCAGTCTCTAGACTGGTGGCTACCAGTCATTATATCAAAAAGAAGTTAGCATACAGCATGATTATAGAATCATAGACCCACTATCACCAATCAGTTATGGTAGAGCCAACTTGCTGTTGAAATGGTTGTTAATTTACTAAAGTTAACGTTTTCCCATAATGTGGACATGAGAGCTTTCTGATATTTCTGTCCTAGCCTAAAACCATTTATATCAGGCATTTTTGTACATGTGTAAGTTTTATAGGTCATTATGATTGCCACTCTAAATTAAGACACTCTTTTGGCATGTAATTATTCACAAGTGATGTCTTCATGCTTTACAGCAAAGTAAAACAATCTCAAGTTGTCTGATACATTAATAGCAGACTAAGCTATATATCAGACATTATAGATTGGGTGGGGAGAAAACTTGCTGAGTGTTAAAGAATGCTTTGGGATTACTTTCATAATTAGCAGTTTTCTGCCTCTGCTCACCTTCTAAAGGATCTAAGGTGCAACAGGGACTACATCTTTTGATGAAAAATCACAGGTAGATCAGAGTTCCAATACTGTAGTTGATATATGCTATAGTGTAGTAGATAACAAGTGGATACTTAAACTGCTGTTAATCTGAATTATGATTTATACATTATAGTTGTAACATAGTTTTTAATACGTGCTGTTAAAGTTAAATATACATTAAGTGAAACCTATTTAGAATTGTCTGTATATTTTCAGTATTTGCTTGTAAGCTTAGTTTTTTTGTGGGGTATAAGATACACCAGATAATGTGTATTTCTTTCCCATAGAACCAACACAGATATATAGATTTCTTCGTACCCGGAATCTCATAGCAGTAAGTAATTGTTGATATTAGTCTATTTCTTCACTTTGAATTTGTAGGAATCTCCAACTTAAGCATTTTAATTATTTTTCCATTTCTTTGCAGCCAATATTTTTGCACAGAACTCTCACGTACATGTCCCACAGAAACTCCCGAACAAATATCAAAAGGTAATTTTATTCTGTTTGAAAGCTATTCCTGATATTTGAATGTTAACTGATTATTCTCTCCCATTGCTCCATTTCTATTTTGCACTTTAAATTGGTCTTTTCAGATGTAGTGTGAGGCTTTAGGCATTTTTGAAGTTGTTAAAAGATTCATACCAGCTCAGTTTTGAAACACAGTTTGCAGGGGAAAAGTGCATGTTTATAAACTGACTTGTTTTTGTAAAGATGAACCTCATCCTCCCAGCAGTTCAGCATATGCTTAACTTTATGCATGGGAATATTCCCATTGTCTTCATTAGGAATATTTAAATATGCAAGTTAAGCATTTGCGGGATCTGGGCCTAAATTCTCAATAAAGTAAGTTTAAATTTCTGTTGTTGGCAATAACCTTTGATAAGAGATAAATGGATGAAGGCCCAATTTCCAAGGTTATAAAACCAATTATGCTTTATTACATGAATCTGATCTAAGTTCTGACTTAGATAATCAATGTATATTTTTCTAAAGAACACTGCAACGTTAGTTAGCTAAATGAGCCTGTTGGGAATTCTGCTTAAACTACTTATGTAGGAAACTAAATCAGTGTTACTTTTCTGTAATTGTTTTGAAAGCTGTTTAGCTTTATTTTTGACTGTTGCACTAAAGCATTAATTTTAACTAAGATTTTTTTTAAATATAAAGGCTCTAGAACCATATCTTTTCTTTAAAATGGTTGTATTGAGTTGCATATGATTCAGTACAGGGTTTCTGGATATCTGCAGTTCTGTAGTTGAAGACTGAAGTGCTTAGAGTTCTTTGGGTGAAAGGCACAAGATGTTTGGTGGTTATAATTACAAATTCTTTGAATTATTTCCTTAGTCAAACAGCAAATCATTCACTATTCTATTGATCGTTAGCAGGCAAAAATTTTACTAGTTAATCCATTAAGATATTTTAACAACGTTTGAATTGCTTGAAAAAAGTATTAGTGTGGACTGGAACATTTGTAATGATGGCTATTTAAGGAATAGTTATAAAATATAAGAATGGCTATACTGGGTCAGACCAAAGGTCCATCTAGCCCAGTATCCGGTCTTCCGACACTGGCCAATGTCAGGTGCCCCAGAGGGAATGAACAGAACAGGTAATCATCAAGTGATCCATCCCCTGTTGCCCATTCCCACCTTCTGGCAAACAGAGGCTAGGGACATCATCCCTGTCCATCCTGGTTAATAGCCATTGATGGGCTTATCCTCCATGAACTTACCTAGTTTTTTTTAACCCTGTTATAGTCTTGGCTTTCACAACATCCTCTGGCAAGGAGTTCCACAGGTTGACTGTGTGTTGTATGGAAAAAATACTTCCTTTTGTTTGTTTTAAACCTACTGCCTATTAATTTCATTTGGTGACCCCCAGTTCTTGTGTTATGAGAAGGAGTAAATAACACTTCCTTATTTAATTTCTCCACACCATGCATGATTTTATAGATCTCTATCATATCCCCCTTTAGTCGTCTCTTTTCCTAGCTGAAAAGTCCCAGTCTTATTAATCTCTCTTCATATGTAAGCCGTTCTATACTGCTAATACTACTTGTCCTTTTCTGAACCTTTTCTAATTCCAATACATCTTTTTTGAGATGGGACAACTCCATCTGCATGCAGTATTCAAGATGTGGGTGTACCATGGATTTAAATTTGTACTACCATGGATTTATATAGAGGCCATATGATACTTTGTCTTATTATGTATCCCTTCATGATTCCTAACATTCTATTCACTTTTTTAACTGCTGCTTCACATTGAGTGGATGTTGTATAGGCAGCAAATGGTTGTGTAGGCAGTAAATAAAATTGGCAACCAATGAGGACAGTCTTGTATTTGATCCAACAAAAAATATAAAGTGCAAATTCTGTGAGTAGGCTGTATTTCGCATTCTCATATTTTGTTTTAGTTAATAATCAGCATTTAATGTAATTTCCTTGCCCTTTAGGATTGTAGAGGTCATTTCCACTTATTGCCAGTGAATTGAAGATAGTGGTTTTTTTGTTTTTGTTTTTGAAATCTGCACCTACAACCCGTTATTCCTTCTTAAAAGGAAGTTATTGTCTCCCAATAGCGGATGAGCTGAAAGCATGTTCTGACTTCCTGTCATGAGTTAACTTGTAGCTACTCTTTTTTTATTATTACTTATTTCTCATGACAGTTACTGCAGTGGTTTGGATAGTTTATCTTGACTGTCCCCCTTAATTGTTCTGAATTGGCGCAAAGCCAGACTTTAAGAAATAATGTTCACTGTTTCTTCAGACTGCTTTGGGGCTAGGGGGCTAGCTCATAGTTTCAAACTGCCATTCTCCTTTTCCAGCAAGTTCTCCAATGGCTATTCAAGCAACCTGTCCTGTACCAATGACTGCCATGTCTCAGCCTAAATCGTATCGGTATCTACCAGATATACCAAGCAAACTATACAATATGCAAAAACAGATTTGTGTTGTGAAAATTATCACATGTATTCATTCTGGATAGTTAAAATGTCTCCACTCTATTACCTGAAACTTGTTGGTTTTTTTTTCAGATGCCTCTTGTTTGTTGCCAAGCAACCACAAGGGGTGTTTTGCATGTACATTAAGCATTATTTGCTGCTGTCTTCCATAATAGGAATTTTTTCTTTCCTCAGCTGGGATAAGTAATGCCCAGATTCTCTATTTGAAACAAATATTTATCTTTACTAACCTTAATTAATGGGTAAAATATACCATCTTTTAAAGTCTAGAAATCTACTTTGACAGCTGTTGTTTCCATATGTAGTGAATTGGTTAGTGGTCATTTCATTTATAATAACTAAAAGTTCGGGTTTTCTGAAAGTAATCTGCTCCATTCAAATCAAGTCAGTAATTAGATGTAGGAAAAATGGAGAGGCAAAGCTGTATAATACTGTTTACTTTGTAAAGAAAACAAATGTAATACAACTGTTGAAGTAGATTTACACGGTATTTCTGAATGTTCAAGGGAAATGTTTTTTCAACTAAACTGCTAAAGATGCTTATCCACAAATGCATTTTCCCCCAAATCTTGCTGATGGGTCTCTTGTTAGACCTGATCTAAACTTAAACTTTTGCCAGCATAGCAGTGTGTGTCAGGAGTGGTGACTTTTCCCCCCTTTCCTGACCAACATAGCTATGCTGGCAAAAGCCCTAGTGTTCATGCACTTTATATCCGCAAAAAAGTCCTTTTGTCAGTATAGCTTACTCCATTCAAAGAACTGGTTTAAAAGAACTATTTTGCTGGTATAAACGGCATCTCCAATGCAAGGATTGCTGGTATATACCTCTGCCAGTATAGCAGTACTGGCAAACATGTAGGCCAGACCCTAATTGCCACTGTTTATTCAACAGGAATCTGTACAACCAATTAAGCTCTTACTAAGAGCATTATGTACTACCTACTCCGTACATCAGACACTGTGATTGCAGGTAGCAAGAAGCTTGAAAGGATTTTTTGTTTGTTTGTTTTATGAAGGGGGGAGCGGAAAACCTCATTGACTGAGGCTTCTATGTGGGGAATTTGTATACACAGCTTGAACATGATGAAAATTTTAGTGGCTTCATTAGTTCTTGAGAAATGGTACTTATGGAAAAGCTATTATAAATCACAATGCATATATAGTAAATACTTCATTGTATCAAGTGATTTTTTTTATGCTTAGCAATTTTTTTATATTTAAAAAGCCTATTAATTGCTCTGGGTATTTACAGTAATATATAATTGTTATCAATATAAAGCAACATCTGCAACTGCATATGATATATTTACATACCACAATAGTAATCATCTCCACTCTTAATATCCCTGGTCTCTCAAATATCTCAAAAAATGCCAGACAAATTGTAACTAAATCACTTACACCATAGGTCATTCAGGAGGAGAGAAACTATCATGTCAGAAATGAAGTTTTCAATAAAGCTTCGCTTTGATGTAATTAAGGATCAATCCATTTTGCATTTTGGTTTTTTTAATCTTTTTTGAACTGTAACATTTTCATCCTACTCTCACTACAGTGTCAGATACAAATTTTTATTCTGTGCTTGTAATCCAGCAAAAATTAAGTTTTTGGTGGGTTTTTTTTTGGACAGAACTGACTTTCCCTGTTCACTCAGGCAGTAGTTTAGACAGTGAGCATGAATTTTTCTAGTTTTCAAACTATTTTTAAGTTTGTGGTGAGTGTTAAAAATTTACTGGGGGGGGGTGGATACCCAAAAAGTCATACTGTTGTTGCATATATGTATATTGAGGATAAACTGGTATTTAATTAAATACGTATTTTGTGTTTTGTGATTATTTATTTAGTGCAGAAGGGTGACCAAGTTGGTAAGATAAGTGGACTGCTAAGTCGGTTTTGGTTAGCAATCCTTATTATGAGAATGTTAATATTAAAGATGTTTGGAGAAACTTGTGCTTTAATATTGAGGCACACTACCATTTTGATTCTTATTACCTTGTTAAATGTGTGCTGCTTGACTGGGGGAAGACACTTAAGATACAGTATTGCAAGCATCAGTAAATGGTGATACACTGAAAATCTTGCATGTTATGACAAAATCATTGCAATGGCAATGTGACATATTTTAGTCTTCAAATATTTCAGCTGTGCTTATCATGTTATGTAATGTCCAGCATGACACAAATCAAGTTCTACTCTCTTCTCTCACTTTCCTGTTTATGGAAGTCTCCCATGACTAATCATTGTCTTTGTCTGTCTCTGGACCCCTTCTGTTTTTTGCTCTCTCTTTGATGGGATGACCAGAACGGTACTTAAAATGAAGTTATATCATATGGCATATTTCAAAGTTATATTCTATCACATTTTTTAGGCAAAAAACAAAACATCAGGATGCTTATCTCTTTGTGTTGAGTGGATACTTTCTTTTTCCTGAGTTCTATAGGTTAAAATCTAACAATGTGTTAAGAGTTTAGATAATTTTAAATATGCACTACATTGCATTTCATTTATCATATTGCCCCTTCACCAGCTTTATTGCATCCCTCAGAATTACCAGAGTTTTCTCTTGCATTGACTAATGTACTTTTGTCATATGCAAATGTTGCTACTTCACTATTTCATGTTTTCCCCATCTTTAATAAATATACTAAACATCAGTCCTAGTACAGCTACCTGGGGCATCTCATTATTAACCTTCTGATGTCTTGAAAATTGACCATTTATTCCTTCGCTTTGTCACTTAGCCATTTTTTAATCAATGACATAACTTTGCTCTTGAGCCATGATTGCTAAACCTTTGTCTAGGGTGAGGAATAGCCCTCATTCAACAATTGGTATTGGCTTGTACCACTGTAGACAAGGGCATGCCAAGGTTCTCACTGCTTGAAATCCCAATTACTAGTAGGGGTAAACCTTGATTGTATGCAAACCCTGCATGCCCTTGTCCACATTTGAGTTAGTAATGGTGCTGCTTCAATGATTGCCAAACAGGGACTATTTCCAAGTGTAGTCAAGGCCTTAGTTTTCTTAATAGATTCTGTCAAAGGCTTCTTGGGAATCGAAATAAATTTACTGATTCTCCTTATCCAGTATTTTGTTGATATGCTAAAAAATTCTAGTACACTGGAGAGAGAGAATTTTCATTTATAGTAGTTATGCTATTTTGTCCTTATGTTCACCTAGGCGTTTAGTAATTAATTTTTTTTTTTATTACTGCTTTATCTGGTATTATGTAAGGGTCACTGGATTGTAATTCCAGATAATCCCTAGGACCATTCTAAAGATTGTACATGTAATAATTAAAATCAGCTACTATTCTGGAGAATAGCACAAGTTAAGGTATGCTTAAGTAACACACATGCCAAATCTGATTACTTTTAATTTCTTCACTCTTGGTTTCAAAGTTGTGAGGTTTTTTTTTAACTAATTCCTCTTTAAAAAAACAGAAAAACAAAAAACCCTCTCTTCCCCCAAAGCTTAATATATCAGTGCTAGTTTTGGTAATCCCTCACCCGAGAATGTGGTGACTATTAGTAAGTATAGTTGAACCACTGTTGAAAAAAGTTGCTTTTGTTACTGAGCCTTAGTTTGAGTGGAACATCTCCTGTTTCATGGTCTAGAATTAATTATTCCAAAAAAGTAGTGGTTTGCTTTTCTAACCAATGTCACCAGCATGAGAGTCAGTTTGTATGTGGGAGTTGCTTGACCAATACTGTATTATCACTTTGTTGTGGGTTTGCTAGTAATATGCCTCTATTTTTAGCTAAACAATCACTCAAATAAGTGAGCAGCTTAAAATAAATCAAAGCTTGAGCAACTGAAATTTTGTACAAGCTGGAACTTCATATAAAGTGTTAAATAGCTTTATTTCTGGCAACATTGTAATAAATATGACACTGCCAATGTAGAGCTCCTTAATAAATTAATTGAATTGGAGCTAAATTTGTAAATGTTTCAGAAAGGCAACTGGAGAAAGAAAGGAAGTATGAGATGAGAAATTTGCAGTGGAATAGGATAAACTATGCTAAAGTTAATAAAAGATTTATATTGAGATTATAGCATTAAACCATACTTGCAAGTTATCAAAATAAAAATTATGGATGTGAAGGCAACTTTCAGGGTATTCGTACATTTGTCCGTATAGTAAATATTGCATTTGGCCCTGTTGGTGGTACATTTTGAAATAGCAGGCTTTTATTTTTTAAATGCTATTTGAATGTCAGTAAGACTTGAATAAAGTAGTTACAGTTCAGTTAAGAATCAAAATAACAGTTTGATAAGCTGCCAAGTCACACTTGCCTTTTAATTAATGTTTTGGTCTCCCTTCTTCACCTTACGTTTTAAATATACAAATATCTACATTAATATTGGTGACCATTTAGTCAGTGAAATGTCAGCAAAACAAGACTGCCAGAAATACAAGTATTGCCTTTTCTAAATCTAAATGTGGAAAATCTTGTTGGTGTAAGGTTACATTGGTGTAACCTATAGCATAGCATTGAAGGGAATATTTTTTGTGACTTTGGGGATGAGGATTCAATAAGTTTACACACCAGTCTTTTTTATAAAGGCATCTCTATTGTGCATCAGTTTAGAGCTATAAAGTGCTCATTTAACTGCTTTAAAATGACTTTCTGGTTTTATACTCTGATCACTTGTTGCTTAGACCTTATCTAGGCTTTTACCATAAATATCCTACTGTTGATAACCACCTGCTCAGCTTCTTTGGTGGTAGCAATGGAAGGGCACGAGTGCAGACATACCAATAAGATTTATTTGGAGCTCTAACTATTGTGCCATGTAGACTTGTTCTGAACAGAGTTACACAACTTGGTAGTTAATATGGTATCTGCTGGGAGCCCTGTCTGGACTGTTGGTTCGACCATGATTGTTGCTGGAGGAAACTTCTGGCCAAAAAAACCCCAAACCTAGTGTAGACAAACCTTTCACGTTCACTGCCTGTTTTATGGTAAGAGACCATGTATCGGGCAGAAAAACATTCCCTTTTCTTCTCTTCATCTGTCTTGCTTAGACTAGGAAGAGAAATGCAAAGCGGGGCTGCACTTGCTGTTAGTGAGTGAATAAGAGTCTAGTACTATCTAGTATTATCCTGAAAGTCTAGTACTAGTCAATCTAAAGAACTTTGCTGGAATCCAGGATGGAACTTTAGTCTTCCTATTAAAGAGGATTGGAAGACTACTTCTGAAAAATTTTGAATAACCTTTGCCTAGGAATGTGAATACTGTATCATATAAGATAGAAAAGAATGAATAGGCTGATGTTAATACCTTACAGGGGAAAAAATGTAATGTGATTATTCCTTAAGCTGTAAACTCATTTTCCTCTGAAAAATATTCCTACAACTAGTCCATTAGTGAATGTCACTTTTGTATTATGTTCATTAATTCACCTTGCTGAGGAAAGAAATAATCTTTTAAGAATTAAATATAAATAGACCTGCTTCTGCCACATAGTAACCATATTTCTAATCCTTGTATATGGTTAATTTGGGACAACCTGAGAGAAAATTTGTATATTGATAGTTGGCGTGGCAATCAGTGTAAGGAGGTTGATTTTTTTTTCTAGTAAAACATATTTGTATCAAAGTTTGAATGGACTCCTAACTAGCTGTCTTGCTGATATTGAAGTGTCTTAACATTAAATTGTGTTGCTCTACAAAATTCTATAATTTTAATTTCTGATAGTTTAGTAATTAGTCCTGTGATTATGATACTGAGGTGCAGCTTTTCAAGCAGTTGTCTTTGACTTCTCGGGCCTCTTTTTAGGGCGGAGAAGTTAGAACAGCAGGTTAAACCAATATTTGAAGAAGCTGATGTGTATACTGAAATTTGTTTTAATAGAATCAGAATTTTTATTTCAGTTAATATTGTATATAAAGGAAATACCTCTAAAAATGAAAATTACCTACTATTCATGCATTTTATTTTTCCACAGGAAAACGTTCAAAGTAGATGACATGTTATCAAAAGTAGAGAAAATGAAGGGAGAGCAAGAGTCTCACAGGTATTACCTGCTCATATTTTTATCAATAAGTCATGTATGGCTGTCAATGAGGGAACAGGATAAAAGGGAGTGATTATTACAAGGTGCAGTACCTGCCACATGAGTGCAGTGTAGCATCCAATTAATATTTGAGTATGCACTCTTAATAGTTTGAGTACTTGCAAAATATAAGAAATTGAGAGCATAAAAGACCGGGTTACAAAGGATCTGGCTTTCTGTTGGGATAGACTTTCCAGTATTTCTACTCTTCATATTTCAAGCATCTTAAGCGTCTTTGTTAGCTTTTAAAAAATAAAAACAAACTTACTCTTAACTGAGTTGCAGTGTCAGCAACTGATCCATGAAAATTATATTTAAGCAGTGGAGAAGATTTGCATGGCCTTTATTTAGTAAGATTCTGACTGTAATATTCTCATTTTTCATGTGATTAGTTTCTGCTCTGCTTGCTGCTTTCACAGGTTCCTTTATTCCTGGTCTTTATGAAAAGAGATTAAATTTTTCATTGAATGAATTTAACAACTTTTTAAATATTGAAGTGCGTGTATTTTAGAACTCTGTAATTTACTTTTACAGTGCTTTTAATAAAAAAAACTTAATTTCTAGGGCTGTCAAAAAAAGCAATCAAAAAGATTAATCGTGCGATCAAACAGTAATAGAATGCCGTTTATTTAAATATTTGTGGATGTTTTCTACATTTTCAAATATGTTGATTTCAATTACAACACAGAATACAAAGTGTACAATGCTCACTTTATATTTATTTTTGATTACAAATATTTGCACTGTAAAAAACAAAAATAGTATTTTTCAGTTCCCCCATTGCAAGTAGTGTAGCGCATTGTCTTTATCATGACAGTTGAATTTACAAATGTAGAATTATGTAAACAAAACAACCTGAATTCAGAAATAAAACAATCTAAAACTTTAGAGCCTACAGGTCAACTCAGTCCTAGTGTTTGTTCAGCCAATTACTCAGACAAAGTAGTTTGGTTACATTTGCAGGCGATAATGCTGCCCACTTCTTGTTTACAATGTTACCTGAAAGTGAGAACAGGCGTTCACATGGCAGTGTTGTAGCCACTGTCACAAGATATTTACCTGCCAAGTGCACTAAAGATTCATAGGTCCCTTCGTGCTTCAACTAGCATTCCAGAGGACATGCGTCTATGCTGATGACAGGTTCTGCTCGCTAACAATCCAAAGTAGTACAGACTGACGCATGTTCATTTTCATCATCTGAGTCAGATGTCACCAGCAGAAGGTTGATTTTTCTTTTTTGGTGGTTCGGATTCTATAGTTTCTCTTTTAAGACTTCTGAAAGCATGCTCCACACCTCGTCCCGTCAGATTTTAGGAGGCACTTCAGATTCTTAAAGCTTGGGTCGAGTGCTATAGCTATCTTTAGAAATGTCACATTGGTACCTTCTTTACGTTTTGTCAAATCTGCAGTGAAAGTGTTTTTAAAATTAACAATATGTGCTGGGTCATCATCCGAGACTGCTATAACATGAAATATATGGCAGAATGCGGGTAAAACAAAGCAGGAGACCTACAATTCTCCCCCAAACAGTGCAGTCACAATTTTATTAATGCATTATTATTTTTTAATGAATGTCATGAGCATGGAAGCATGTCCTCTGGAATGGTGACTGAATCATGAAGGGGTATATGAATGTTTAGCATATCTGGCACATAAAGGCATTGCAATGCCGGTTACAAAAGTGCCATGCGGACGCCTGTTCTCACTTTTAGGTGACATTGTAAATAATAAGCAGGCAGCATTGTGTCCCGAAAATGTAAATAAGCTTGTTTGTCTTTGCAGTTGGCTGAATAAGAAGTAGGACTGTGTGGACTTGTAAGCTCTAAAGTTTGATATTGTTTTGGTTTTGAGTGCAGTTATATAACAAAAAAAAAATCTACATTTGTAAGTTGCACTTTCACGATAAAGAGATTGCACTCAGTACTTTTATGAGGTGAACTGAAAAATACTATTTCTTTTATCATTTTTAGAGTGCAAATATTAATCAAAATTAATATAAACTGAGAACTGTACACTTTGTATTCTGTGTTGTAATTGAAATCAATATATTTGAAAATGTAGAAAAACATCCAAAAATATTTAATAAATTTCACTTGGTATTCTATCGCTTAACAGTGCGATTAAAACTGCAATTATTCGCGATTAATTTTTTTGAGTTAATCATGTGAGTTAACCCCGATTAATCGACAGCCCTATTAATTTCATTACCTTTAATGGCCTTTTCTTATTCTATTATGGTGCTCATTGTAGTGAAAGCTGTTCATTAAAGATTGCAAGATTTCCACCATAACCCTCTATTCTCATCTGCTGGGGGGGGAAAAAACTCCTTTGGTCTGAGGCTTTCTGTGTTTGATCTGAGCCTACATAGGTACATTTTTAAAAAAAATTTATATGCTTCCCTCAGCAGTGCTTGAACTGTTGAAGCAAGTCGGGGTGGTGGGGACGGGGGGACTTTGCTTTAAAGAAACATTTTAAATGTTTTTTATGCAGAGAAGAAAGGAGGCTGATCTTAAACTGTGAACATCATGTTTGACTTGCTCAGTGGGAATTGTTGCTGTGCATTTGAGGAAAAAAAAAAAGTTATGCTATTAAGCAATGAAATGGTGGATTTAATGAATGCATAGCTAAGTTTAGTAAGTTTTGCAGTTTGCCATTGTGGAAGTAAGCAAACAGGTGAGTTTAAAATGTGGAGTTATGAAAAGCATACTTGTGTAGATTCATGTAGGTGGAACTAAAAGTTTCTAAACAATTTTAAAGATTTGAATCTAATTTTTTTGAAAAGCATTTGGATCCTTTAGAGCAGTGGTGGGCAAGCTGCGGCCCGTCAGCATAATCTGTTGGCGGGCCGCGAGACAGTTTGTTTACATTGACCATCCGCAGGCAGAGCTGCCCACAGCTCCCAGTGGCCGCGGTTTGCTGTTCCCAGCCAATGGGAGCTGCGGGAAGCGGCGGCCAGTGTGTCCATGCGTCCCATGCCGCTTCCCGCAGCTCCAATTGGCCGGGAACGGTGAATCGCAGCCACTGGGAGCTGTGGGCGGCCGTGCCTGTGGACAGTCAATGTAAATGAACTGTCTTGCAGCCTGCCAGTGGATTACCATCACGGGCTGCAGGTTGCCCACCACTGCTTTAGAATATTAGCTTTATTTTGTTCCCATTTTGATCTTGTACAGAAGACATTTAAAATAGAGTAAGGTATGCATCTTCCTGCTCCAATATAAGTATTTGAGATGTCAGCTCTTACTTGGCAAGGTCTGATGACATAATTGGAAATCTTCAAAGTTCAACATAGCAAATCTAAAACTTGGAGTGACAAAATTCTGCTTATTTTGACATTGTGATGGTTGTAGAAAAACAGATATTCAGGTAACTAGTATGTTGTCTCCATAAACCACAAACAGTTATTGACAAATTGGCCAACAGTGGGCCAGAGGTCCCTGAAACATAATTTTATTTTGGTTTTCTGTATCCAATTAATAGCTTAATTGACTTCCAAAGAAGTGTATCTGGACTGACTTTTTATAACAAATTACAGTGCAAATCAACTTTAAACAGCTCAGGTATAAAACATTGGAAACTTTAAGAAAATGAAAGTGTCTCTTACATAGCTAAAAATAGTTGCACATCCTATACCTATCCTGAGCAACTTACTGTAATTTTATAGCTATACTCCTGTTTTTATAAAGCTGCTTTCTGCTGTACTGAAAGACTCTCAAACTTGAGAGGGAGAGTGAAACTGATTGCTTGCAGAGAACTCTCAAATGCAAAAAGTAAACAATTTAAAAATATCTAATCTCTCAATTAGTGTTTTGTGACAGTAGCTGATAAAAGAAATCACACTTCTCTGAAAGTAAGTTGATATCTGTCCCATTTACTGTCAGCATTTTGGAATGTGCACAATATATACTTCACTTGAATTTGACTTGTATAGGTGAACTGAAAATAAAAATCCTCAAATCAGTAATCTATGCAGACTTGCATTTTAATTTAGTTTTCTCTATTTACTTTCCAGTACCAGATTGGAAGGGTTGGATTCCCTTTCAGCTGTTAATATTGCAGACACCCAACATATGTAATGAACACTGCTCCTTTCATTAAGTATTTGATGCCTCAGTAATTACAATTGCACTTAATAGTTTCAATTGCAGACCCCTAAAGATTTTGCTGGTGATTATGCATTTTGGTTCCAGCAGTATTCTGAGATTGGTGACGTGACCATTTTGCTACTATTAAGCATTTGGTGCACTCTACTCTAATGAACAAGATTTGTAATAGAGGCTTAACAGTTTTATTTGATGGATATCATAAGTACAGAAAACTTCACCATATTCTATCAATCCATAAATATTAAATCTGTATTCATTAATAGAGCAAATGAATAACATATAAGCAGTTGGTAGAAACTATGATGGGAAGACATTAAAGCATACGTCGTACTTCTGAGGTTTTAGGTGCAATTCCAGTGAATGAAAATTAGAATTTCTTCCCTATCCTAAATTAGACATTGAGCTACCTTATTATTTTAGGAAGGAATATGGTGGAATTTCATTAACCCTGTTTATGAACGTCCACAGTAATTATTTTGCTATGGGGTATGGTGTATCCTGATGAGCAGGTCACATTTAGTTCTTCATGCTGGCTTTATATTCTCCTTTAGTGCAAAAACTATTGATAATCAGCTAAAACATTTCTATAGGTTGTGTTTAATGGTTTATGAAATTTTATGCTTTCTATAAATTATGGAACAGAGCCAGACAATGGAAAGATTGTAACATACGTGACCAACCAGAACATTAGAGAAGCTTTTTCACAAACTGAGAATCATTCAGATGTGCTTTTGCACTTTTCTTTATAGGCCTCTGAAGGAAAGTATGCTTTGCAAAGTTTTGTAAAATATTAGCTGAAAATTGGTCATGAAGCACATGTGCTACATTGAAATCAGTTTATTTTGGGAATTGTGTAAATCAGTAACTAAACACTGTTAATTTATTCACTAATCCAGTTAAATTGGTTTTGGTTACAATTGTGAATTGTAAAAGTATTGCTTGCTTGAAATAAGCCAGATGGATCTCTGGTTTCCAAGGATTGTTCTGTGATCTTACTGAATCAAAATATCCAAGTTTAAAATTCATTTCTGTTTGGCCTAACACCAAAATGTTTTGCTTTGCTCCCTCTACTAAACCTTAACTTTTAAAAATATAAAATCAAGTCCTCATCCTCCTGATGATAATGCAGTCTGGCACTATAACATTCTTTCATTCTGATGTAATATACAAGTCAGTGCAAGCATTGTCTTGTAAATACTAAAGCAATTGGGGTACTTATTAAAACATCAATAGTTTGAGGATTTCAGGAAATACTTGTCATGCACTGACAAAGCACTCCAAGAAAGTCTGTGTTCTAGGGTCGATTTGATTTTTTTTAACTCAAAACCATTTAAATCACCATTTTTAATCGTGATTTAAATCAAGCAGGAAATCTTGATTTTAAACCTATTTTTAATTTTTTTTGCAATTTTATTTATTTTTTTTTCTAAAGAGTTAAGTGTTAAAACATGTTGATTTACAATGAAATCTAGCCTTTACACTAAATACCGTGGTACTTCTTGCTAACCTAGTGCGTGAGCGCTCTCTCTCTCTATTTCTTAAATAACATCTATTAGATACTTGATTTTTGTTTTTATATGTTAGAAAATGCTGAATGATGCGTTTCTTATTTACTAGACTTTTTTTTACTTGTGATTTGTCAAGCTATACTTGGATGGAAATTAGAATTTAAAATGCACAAAACTACCTTTTTTTTTATTAAAACTACTTCAAGTATACTAGATGCATAAGAATAAAAATTCATCAAAATATATTCTGCATTTAAAACTAAGCAAGTATTCTCTATCGTTAGTGAATTGAACTGAATGTTTCTGGTCACCATGTCCTTCAGTATTTTAGGACAAGTAGATGTCATTCTCTTATACCTAGGTTTATTCATACATTGGAAGTCAGCTTCCTGTCAGTTTTTAATTTGAGTGAAATAGTCACAGAACTGAACTAGCTGAATAAACTGATATGAAAAATATAGTCTCTCTGCAACTGCAGAAGTGGCTGCTGCTGTCAAAAGCTGGCTTAGCACTTCAGCAAACTCTGGTTCTAGTTGCTTAGCCCAGTGGTCTCCAAACTTTTTTGATCGCGCACCCCTATCAATAAAAAAATTAGCATGCACCCCCTGCCATGCCGCAGGGCTCTACCATTTTTGCTACCCGAAGCGCGCGCAAAAAAAAAAAGCCCCTCCTCCTACCGTGCACCCCGGAGGATCCTCTTGCGCACCATCTGGGGTGCGCGCACCCCACTTTGGAGACCACTGGCTTAGCCAATGACTTCCACCAGTTCAGTGGTTTGATTTTCATTAAAAGTTTGGCAGCAAGTATGTATTGCTTAATATTATAGTATATTTAGACCTTAACATAGATTGTCATAATTTCAAATTTAACTTTAAATAGTTTTGGGGAAAAAGTATTTAAATAAAAAAATTCAATTTAAATCTGATTTTTTATAAATCAATTTTATTTCTCCCGCTGGGTTCATAAATGGTTCTGGAGCCTCACAGGCCATATTGGAAAAAAAATTTAGTGAAGTTATTCAGGATGGCCAACTGCCCCAAATTAAATGTTTTTAATGCTATTGTGACTTATATGGGACACTATCCAATATGACAATATTTCATCAAATATTATAGATTCTATATGTAGAGGACTTAAGCATATTCAGATTTTTAACCTCTGGTCATAGAGTGACAGCTATTTCCAGAATAATTTCATATTAATTTTTCAACCTTATCCAAATGTTTTAAATTACCTCATTGAGTTTAGTAAATCCACCTTATCCAAATCTTAAAGTAGTATAATACAAAAAGTAGGATAATAAACTACAGTAATATAAAATAAAATACACAGTAATCAAACCATTAACTGCATGTGTGGGAGGGTGTGTGTGTATTAAAGGTGGGGCTGCTAGTCCCACCTATTAAGGTTGACCATCAGTTGTCATAAGATCCAGTTTTCAGTTGCTAATAATTTTACCTGACTTCAGAATTGTGCCTTTTGCTATCCCATGAAAATAGACCCAAATTTTATCAAGTTATAGTAAGCCTTCGAAAAACCGTAGTTCACGTATGCTTAGTAGAGACTTCTTGGATTTTAGCAGCTAAATCTCAGAAGATCCTATTCTCACTGCGCATGCTTGAGCCTCTCACAGCTTCTTGTGCTCACCAGATTGCATGTGCCATTGCCACAGTGACTGAGGCCTGGTCCACACTAACTCCCTACGTCGAACTAAGATACGCAACTTCAGCTACGTGAATAACGTAGCTGAAGTCGAAGTACCTTAGTTCGAACTTACCGCGGGTCCAGACGCGGCAGGCAGGCTCCCCCATCGACTCCGCGTACTCCTCTCGCGGAGCAGGAGTACCGGCGTCGACGGCGAGCACTTCTGGGATCGATTTATCACGTCTAGACAAGACACGATAAATCGATCCCAGAAGATCAATTGCTTACCGCCGGACCCGGAGGTAAGTATAGACGTACCCGGAGTCTGCTTCAGCCCAGGGCTACAGGTGAGAAAGCCAGACTTTCTCTGTAATGGCTGCTGCGGGCTGGAGCTGGCCAGTGGAACTGTGAGCAGGGAGCCTGTCATGTCACTCAATTAACCACCTTGCTGGAACCCAGGCTGGAGGAGGAAGCAATGTGATTGGAATGCTGAGGGGACAAAAGCCAGACTGGGAAGAAAGAATGGAGTAAATTGTGACAAGGAGTCTGGGGAGGTTTGCGGGAGGGGGAAATGGGAGGATGAGACTGTTTGGGGGAGGAGGGCTGGGACTTGGAGGCAAGGTCACAGAAGAGTGACAGGGAGGTTGGGATGGCAGCTTTCAACTGCCATAACCATGAGACAGTCCTTTCTGTTCCTGCAGTCTCCTGCCTTATACACCACACGTCTTCTAACTTCAGCAGATGAAGTTGGAATTTTACAGATAGCAGCCTCTCTTTTTACGCAGTCCTGATTCATCCCCAGAGCAGGTTAATCCTGTGCACTAATACTGGGGCCCTGTGGGGAAAATATAGTATGTGATTATGTAATATAAGACTGTATCATAGTGCATATGCACAGGCAACTCTAATTCTATCACTTCCTAACTTTTGAGTGCCTGACATTTCAATCAGAATGTTCTTTTAGCATAGATTTTGTGTGTAGTATATTACAAAATACACCCTCAAACCCTTGTCTTCAGGCACTGAGTATTCATTAAGGTAGTGGTCAAACCCTCTGCCTTCTGAAAATGCTGATCCACGCAGGGGTACCTTTCTATATGCAAAGAAGTTTCTTAAAATTTGCATCCAACTCCTATATTAAATATGCTGAAGCTTTAGAAGTTACTAAGTGACTGGGAGACAGTTTATTCACTTCTTGATTATAGATCTGATTCTGGTTATAGATTGATTCTGAGGAATAATGTACTGAATAACCTGTGATTTTTTTGAGGTGAAAATACGTATTTATTCTAACAACTTTTTTTTCCTGTTTAGCTTGTCTGCCCATCTGCAACTCACATTTACTGGTTTCTTCCATAAAAATGGTATGTCTGTTAAAATTCATTATACAACTAGATTATAATGTGTAATAAACCTCTTAAAAGTTCAGTATTGGGGGTACACTTGAGCTGAATAGATTTTCCATATATTAAAATCCCAGATGTTTGTACAGTATTTTTTAATTGCTTTGAGCTCAACTATCCCACTAGCACAATACTTATATATTTTACTTTTTACAAAAGAAAAATGTGTACCTTCTCATGTGTACTTTAGATAAGTGCTTTGTGACTTAATACTAAGCAATAAAATGTTGCAAACTTTCACTCAGTACATGCAGATTCTATTAAAAGCTTAAAGTCTTTGTCGTGCTTTTAAACAGTTATTAATAGATAAAAGTAGAGTTGAGTTGTTCTCTTTAAGCAAGTAGCCATATGGAATTCTTCAGGTTTTCTTGGGAATTTGAAGTGGAACAAAAAAATCAAGAAATGCTAAATTCATATTTTGAGGTTCCACAAAGTTGGAAGAATATTTTCATTGATATAAAATATAGTCCAGAAATGAGACTGAAAATGCTATACCTAGATCTTTAAAGATGAACTGAAATAATCTTTTATTTTGCTAATGATTTACTGTTGTAAATATCTGTATGTATAATATGTGCAGCCTTAACTTCACAAAAAGTTGTTAGAATTCTTGAACTACCAAGACCTGAGTCCATGGTTCTGTTTCTCCTCCAGTTAAAACAGGAAGCTGTGTTCTTTATGGTGCTGTAAATATTGTTAATTTATTAACTCTTACATACCCAAACTCAGTTCTTTGCAGATAAGTAAAAGAAGATGACTTTCAAATATTTTATTTTAAAACATTTATTTCCAACTTTTAAATGAACACATATTCTGTTAATGACCTTTTTTGTATTATTCAAAAAATATTCAGCTCACTTAAAGATCTATATTTTTAGTATGGGTAATGTTGTCTGCAAACATTTATGCTCTCTGAACATTTTGTATACTTTACTTGGCCTGGAAATTGTTCCAAAATACACTTAAATTATGGTTAGTAGCATCTGGATTTGAAAAACTATTTTGCCAGTGATAAATAGGAATTTTGTTTTGGTGAGTGCGTGTTGCTCCCTTGATCTAGGAATACTTCTGAGTGTTCCTTTTGTGGCTTTGAAGAGGAATATCCAAAGAAGAGTGCTGGTCCCACTGCTGCCCTGATTCCATTTGGGAATACTCATCTTCCGTTTATTCCCTCAGGAATTTTTCAACTTGTTGCCTCTACTCTAATGCTTTATCATGGAAGCAACAAGGAGATCAAGGAGCCCATACCCTGTGGTGAGAGCAGAAGCAAAAGAAATCATTGTTTCTCCCCAGGGCTTGGCAGAGGATGGGGGCAGGGGGAAGGAATGCATAGTGCTGTAGTCTAGCTTCAGACACCTAATGATCCATTCCTCCCAGGTATGGCCTATGGACAACACCTAATGGGAAGCATACTATACACAACTTCAAATAGTCGATGTATAGAATGGGGATGCACGGGTGCTCTCTGTGGGCCCTGCTGACAGGCCCTGTCTTTTAATTTAATTTCTGACTTAGACTCCCTGTGTTAGTAGGTTTGAGCAGATTTTTCAAGCTGTTAGCATATTTGCTGTAAGTCATTCTATGACTGTTGGTAATGTGACTGTGCTGTTTAACTATGAAATCCTCATACGCTGGTGCTGCTATTTCAGTAGAGGACTATGCATAGTGAGAACAATATGATTGCATGTTCATCCTAAAGAACATCTCTCATGAGCAGTAGTGAATACTAAATATAGAAAGTTTTATGACAGACTAGCCATTGACATGCTTTTTTGGTGTGATAGTAAAAATGATTCCAGAAGCTCTCAGAATAATGCTAACTATTTTTTATTTTGCAAATTAAACACGGCTATGGTTTTTTTTGTATATCTGCTGGTAGGTATTCTTTGATAGGAATGCCTTTCTGTGAACATTTGCATACTTGCCTGAACAGGATTAATTTTCAAATTAACAGTGAAAGATTCTCTTAAAACTAAAAAGAAAGTAAATCCATTACAATTCTTAAGGTTGCTAATGTCCCTGTAAGTAATTAAAATTTTCAGATGCGCTACCAAGATTGTTACTAAATTAAAAACAGATCATGCTTGTTCAGTGTGAATATAATGCCAGTAGGAAGGTTAGTTAGGAGACACAGGGCATGGTCTCTAGTATGCTCACAACTCTTTGCCATCTCATCTGTTCTGATAGATGTGATTGAACATTTTACTTGGTGTCTGAGATTTTGGCTTTGGGTGAGGGCTAGTTGGTTTAAGCTTAACACAGATAAGACGGGTGTATCCTGAGGTAATAGGGTGGGGGTGACAACGAGAAGAAATGGGCAGATTATGAAAGTCCTTTGATTGTGAAACTGAGTAACAAACTGAATATACTGCTGCAATTTTAAGTGTTAGCATCTAGCTGTCACTGATAGTTCAAGGTAGCAGCTTTGACCAAGACTATCTGTTAAATCTGTGCTGGTCAAGAGCAAAACCTCTTTTTTTTGGATGTAGACCTTTCTACAGTTATCTGCCTTTGTTGTCGTCATACTATTATGATGTTCTCTGGGGATGCATCTTAACTCAAGTTAGTGAAGAATATGGTTTCCAGTTCAGTGGTGCAACATGCAGAAAGCACATTGTAAGGCCATCTGTTTCACTGCTTTTCATGAAGCCATGGTGTGAGATATATGTACTTTTTTTTATATAGTGGGTGCTGTGGGCAGTTTTTATTTTGGCTGGAGTTAGGTTGGATAAATAAATTACTGGGTTTGGGATTTTTTTAATCTTTTAGTTTATATTCGTATTTACACAAGCACCTAGAGCCATGAATAGTGCTCTGAAATACACTTGCAGAAATAAAATTTATTCAGCTGAGTAAGGAAGAAAAGAATTGGACTTCAGGAATGTTGCCAGTTAATTTAATAAGGATTTGATATAATGCAGAGGTTAATTTACTTAATAACCAGGGGATCAGTAAAATAGACTAGTTCACACTACACTCAAATTGTCTGAAATAGTTGTATTTTACTTTGTGATGGTTCTAAATTTCAGTTTTAAGAGAACAGCGTTAGATCTGTTCAGTGCTGGACTGGTCAGTCTATATTGCCAGAGACTGAACTTGTCTTCCAGAAAGTTCATCTTTAGATCATGTACAAAGTAAAATTTGAAATTGTTTTCTTATGAAAAACAGATTCTAAATTAATGCATTCTTGTTAGAGAATATCTTAAATTCACATGATGAGGCCTTTATTTATACTGTAAATGTGTTTTAACACAGATTTTTATTGGCATTGCTGATCGTACTACTGGTAATAAACACCTTGAAGATTACATCAATTGGAAAATCTGTAGCACAGGAATTGTAAAATTATTTTAAACTGCATTTTTTTCCCCAGGTCTCTGTCTCTGGCACTCCTCTTGGGGTTGAGAGTTGAGATTTCTAACTTATGGCATTTGGGTCCTTGGCAATGATGCAAAGTAAATTGTAGATTTGGGAGGAGTAAATATTTTTTTATGGGAAATAATTTACATCACTCACCTGAAACTGGAGTTTTCTGGCTTTTCTTAACAAATCCACATTTGCCCTTTCTTTCCTATTGCTTTAGAAGATTGTAGTTGGTGAATGTTCTGCTCTGCCTCTGGGCTGTACTATGAACCTGTACAGTACCCTCAATTACAGTTTTTAGTTATAGCAGTATTGGGTACATGTTTATGATGTAAACTGTATTTTGGCATGTGGATCTGTGGGGGAGACTTATCTGGATAACTCCAGTTATAGGTACATTTTTCAGTTTTTTACTGGATGTTTCCTTTATTTAAAAGGAGAGTTAAAACTAGAGTTGTACTTTACTAATAACCAAGAGCTAAAAAAAAGACCAATGGAAGTGAGTTTGGCCTTTTCTGTTAAACTTTCAAACATTACAGATCAACTCTTACATTTTTAATCTGCTAATAATGGAGCAATTATAAAGCAAGGTTCTTTCTCAAGATGGGGAGCACTGAAATTTCAATGGGTGTGTGTGACTTCAGAACTTTGCAGTAAGTCCTTGTTTCTGAAAATGGCAGAGATTTAAAAAAAAAAAAAATCTCCAGTAAACTTATGGCACTGAATAGAGTTGTTACTTTTTCAAGACTTAAAATATTTTTCTGTTTAGATAAGCCATCACAAAACTCAGAGAATGAACAAAATTCCGTAACCCTGGAAGTACTGCTTGTGAAAGTTTGCCACAAGAAAAGAAAGGTAACATGACTTGAGAAACATTTAATAAATGTTAAAGTGCAAAACTTAATTGACTCCTAAACATCTCTTTAGCCTCCAGGTTGGTAATGTTAGTTAATGACAGCATGATGCTTCAGTTAAGAGATTTAAATTGGTCTTAAACTTACATTACTACTAGAGAACAGTAGCTGTCTAAATTACTTTCTGTTGATTATGGATGGAATGTTCAAAAGCACTTAACATTGGCCTTATTCTGCTCTGACTGAAGTCACTGGGAGTTTTACCAGTGATTTCTGCAGGAGCAGAGTTGACCAGTACTGAGCACTGTTGAAAATAATCTTGTAGGAAAAGCTACTTAACTTGTTGCCTGCTGTTCTACTTATGGATGCTGTCCTTAATCTAGACGTGTTTGGAAGGAAATTTAACTTCTCACTTTCCATTTTTGCCTGCCAAGATATTTTTGGGTATATTTATATTTTAGGAGGCCCAATTTTTTTTCATTCAACTAAAGTTGTAATTCTCAGGATGATTTCTTGCAGATCTTGAAAAAACTGACTAAGTGGTAAACTTTCCCTCATGAATGTGGGTGGGCTAAGACTGCATCAATTTAAAAAAAAAAAAAATCTAGTTTGCATTTAAAACACCGTTACTAGCTTGTATTGTTCTAAAGATAACTTACGAAATGTAGCATGTCTTTCTGAGTTTGCATATAGCTATGAACAGTGTCAGATAGGCACTGAAATGATTTACAGGGGATGAGGTGCCCCCCAAAAAGAAAACTAGGTGAAGAGTGGAAAAATGCAGTTTTTTCTTTTGTAGCATCAGTTAGGCTGAAAAAGAGTACATTAGTGGAGACCTCCTTTCAAAATTTGTAGAGGAGTTCTAAAGCTTCAGATTTCCAGATATCTAACAGCTGAAGCCCAGTATAAAAGATGGTGTCCCAAATTGAGTCCAGGGACAGGACTCTGGTATAAATCATAGCACCCTTTCTTACCACCTCAGAAGGTGGGCTTCTCACAAAGCCACTGCCTTGGACTTTGCTGGTGGCCACACCAGCACTCGTATTCATTTTAACTACGCCACATGCATTTGTATCTGCCCCGACTAGTAAGTGGGCTAAAACTTTTCAAGCTTTTTTCTCCTGGATGAAACCTACTTTAGAGTATAATGACTCTAGTGGAGGTTCTCAAATTTCAAAGACATGTTCAGCTTTATTTCATATAATTTAGTCTCTTTGTACATCTCACTTAATTTTGCTGTTTTTCAACCATCTTTTATGTAAAAGACATTTTCAATTTTTGTCCCGTCACCAATCTAAATCCATATTTCTAATTTATCTCCATGTATTTTGTTTACATTGTGGTGATGTCCAGAGGCAGAATAAACTAGGCGTTGTACAAAATTATAGGATATAATTGCTGTCCTAAGGAGCTTAAAACCGTTTGTATTCCCCAATCATCTGCAACCTCTTCTCTCCCTTTCCTTGCTCCGTTCTGTGTTCATTTTTTTTCTGAAATATTTTTGTTTGACAAATTTAGTGTACTACAGTAATTTGCAGAAGCCTCTCTGAGTTAGCTTGCTACTTTAATTATACTTAATGCTACATCCCGGCTATCAGCAAATTTCACTTCTTGAAATTAGCCACCCAGATAATTGATCTCCAGGCTCAAACCAGACTAATCCTAGCCAGACATTTCCTTATATACTCTTAAATCCCTCATGACTATGGAAATGTGGAAGCCAAGTTGTAAATCTGTTTCCATTTAGGTTTAAAATTAGGGAAAGTACTTTGACTGAATGTTCTTAGATGCCAGACATTCAGACCTGCTTTTAAGATCTGTCATGTAATTCAGCAGTGTTTGTTACTACTTAGGGGTGGACAAGTAGAATGATGGGAGCTACTGTTGATTATTATTTTAAATATAAATTTTGTTGTGAGTTTAATCATTCTAAAGGTTTCCTGCCTTGTACATCCAATATGGCAAAGTGCTTCATGATTTGTTTTGGAGATACTGCATATGGCAAACCCAAGTTGAGTAGTTCTTTATCTCCCAAACATTTCATTAAGAGCACTTTGTAATATTGGAAGGACAAGACAGGAGAGCCCTTACAATATATATAATGAAAATATGTAATCTTTTGTTAAGTAAATGGAATTAAATTGGGACTAAGAACTACTTTACAGTCTTATTGAATGCTGCATGATAGTGTAACAAATTAATCACTTTCCCAAAAAAGATGGCTGCTCTTTATAAAATGCCATTTTTAACTACACTTTTTCAAATTTCTGTTTATGCATGCAAAACCTGAGATTGCTGTTTCAGATTGGTAGTTCCTTGAAATCTTAATCTAGTCATACCAAGAGGATGCGTGGTTTTAGGCAGCACCATTATTTCCAAAATGATGGTAGAGCAGATAGTTAAATTTTACATATTTTCAAGATAGTGAAGAATTTCCATTTTTAACAAAAACCCCAAACCTTAAAAACTTTCTTTTATGCTTGCAGGATGTCAGTTGTCCAATAAGGCAAGTTCCTACAGGTAAAAAGCAGGTGCCTTTGAACCCAGACATCAACCAAATAAAGCCAGGCAACTTCCCATCACTCGCCGTTTCCAGCAATGAGTTTGAACCCAGCAACAGCCATATGGTGAAGTCTTACTCATTATTATTCAGAGTAACTCGTCCAGGAAGAAGAGAATTTAATGGAATGATCAATGGTGAGACTAATGAAAACATAGGTAAGTTCAGTTTTTGAACTTGCATTTGTCAGGTTTAGCTTATATGTATGTATATCGTCTTTCAGAACTTCAGGTTGATTAGTCATGCTCAGTAGGATCCAGAATCAAATATGGGTGACTTAATTGGCTTTCATTAGTTTATAAAGATGTCTGCTCAAGACAGTACTAGAATACCTATATATAATGGCTTTTGGTATAGTATACACATGTAATAGCAACTTTTATCAAGATGTATGGTAATGTGCATAAAATAGTAAAGGCTAGCTCTGGCATAGAGTTGATATAAAACAGAACTCTGGAATCTCTTCATTCCTGCTGTTGATTAATCGTCCTGCCAAAACACTGCTGGAAGGTTACTAGTGACTGAACTAAACGGATTCCACAGATACTGCTGTGGCTTTCATTAACAGAGCAAACTTGTTTTAAAATAAAACTGACTAAATCTAATACCTTAATTTTATCAGAGAATTATAGTATACCACAAACATCAACACTTTAATGGTAGTGTAGAGAAAAATAGTCCATTTTTTTAAATTTTTGCTTTTAATTGTTAAAATACAGGATGAAAAGGGAGGGAGAACAGGGCTCAAATTCTGTAAGCCAGTTTATCTAACACCAAGTTAAAACATGTGATTAACACTATAAGAATGGGGTATCCTAAAATGTTACTAATATTCAATTAATGATAAAGTTCCCCCCCAAAATTGATCATATTACATTACATTAATCCTTGCCCCTGTTACTAGTTAAAAATCACACAAATGTTATAACTTAAAATACAGTATATAGTTGGGTCTTTATTCACACTGACTTCCCAATTTACTGGAATTGCCTGCATTTTTAACAATTGTATGCAATATTTGTGAAATGCAGATGTCAATGAGGAGCTTCCCGCTAGAAGAAAACGTAATTCTTCGAATCGTGAAGACGGAGAAAAGACTTTTGTGGCACAAATGACAGTATTTGATAAAAACAGGTAATATGAAAATCAAATGGTGTTTTCTTTTGTTACTCATGCACTTTGATATTAAATGAAAATCTACTTTTGAATTTCATTTTTCTCAATTTTTGTATTCTACATTTTCAGTGTGTACATCAGTGGATGACTGAAACGAGCGTTAGCTTGGGCTTTGCTGTGAAAGTGTAAACTCCTTGAAAAACTAGTTTGCAGATTTCACAGAGGATACTTAAAATCTAACATTCTTTTATAACCAATGCAGAAAACATATTCCCTGCTAAAACAAGTTTTAAGATCATCCTGCGGCTAATCAACATAAAATCTGTGTCCCTCATCAGTTGTTAGAGGCAGGTGTAACTTCTGTAGTCTTATGGACCAGTGACTGCATAATTGGGAAAATAACTCTTAAGTACAGTAGCTAATATTTTATTTGTTGAGATGGAACTTTCTCCTTACCCTGATGATGCAGCCACATATACTATTCCATGATCATTTCAAGGACAGATTAGTTATCCATTACCTCAGTAACACCACATTAATTGCATATTTCTCCTATCAAAAGCATATTATTTATCTGAGTAATAACAAGTGTGTGTGCTGCCTCATTGTAAATATCAGTTACCATTGATTATGCAGGTTTGTTTAAAGAAAACTGGGTTGTGTTTTTATTGATTTGCTTTATTAGGTTATCATAAAACGTTCATTAAATGATTTGTTTTTATTAAGATAACATGGCACTAGTTAGTGTACTCAGTTTTTTTTAAAAAGGCAGTTCGCACTTATTTACAACCTAAAGCAATCCAAATGCTTCAGAAGATACCCATTACCGTTACTTTGTGTAAGTGAATACTCAAGTATTCTGTGTTTATTTTGGGGAAAGTCATGCAATAAATGCCAGTGATAGCAAAGGATGAGATCTGCTTGTTTACAGCCTTAAAATATTGGAGTCTGGGATGAGAAACAAGCTGTGTGCTGTGATTAGATGGAAGTATGGCTTATTAATATAGAATTCCCTTTATTGCAATTGGATCAAATGGCACTCTGCAGGTCATCTAGATCAGTCTCTAAATGTTAGTTAAAAGCAACTTGAATCTATAGCTATACAAATTATTTGCCTAAAATAGAGTATGTCCCTTAGTAATTCTTGTCTGTTCCTCTCAGTAATTCTGTCCAAGTACATATCTATCCAAACAAATTTTTCAAACAAAGGATTTTTAAGGAGCAGTGCCATGTACTCATTCTTTACCCTAGTCTGTGCCCTCTTAGAAGCTTGACAATATTTTGTTTTCTATTAAACAGTTTCTCAATGGAGTTTAAATTAACATAGTCTGACTTATTACTGATGACCGTAGATAAACTAGGATATCTTTATAATTGATGCCCTGCTAAATAGGCTGGGCACATTTTCTGTAAAATAAGATGTAGGAGGCACAAGTAGTTAAACAGGTTATCTTTCATAACTTGAATTTGCTGAATCTAAAAAAAGTTTACCAAGCTGAATTTTGAATATTTCACATTCTAAATTGGAGTTCAAAATTTAAGTTACATTTGAAAAATTGGTAAATTTCTATGGTTTTTATTCTACTGCAGTTACTGTATATCCTACATATTATTTAGACAAGCATAGTTTAACAGTTCCTACATATTTTGACACGCTCCTTGCATTTACAGGCCCCCTGGTGGCATTTCTGCAACTACAGCACTATGATATGCCCCCTTCAACATATCCACAGATAAGTTTCTGCACAGCTGTCGGGGGACTAGCTCCACTGACCTTAGCTGGAGTGCCAGTTCTCTATTGTTTGGTCCAATCCATATTCACTGCTGAGGGGTAGTGTGGGATGGTTGCCATTTGCCTATTTCCAGACCCTGGATTGAACGTGAGCTCTTTGGGTGTGATAGCGCAATTCATCACTTGTTGGGGGAAGTTTGCCTCTGGTGATAGACATGTGGAGAGCAACAGAGGGTCCTGTGGCACCTTTAAGACTAACAGAAGTATTGGAGCATAAGCTTTCGTGGGTGAATGCCCACTTCATCAGGAGTCTGATGAAGTGGGCATTCACCCACGAAAGCTTATGCTCCAATACTTCTGTTAGTCTTAAAGGTGCCACAGGACCGTCTGTTGCTTTTTACAGATTCAGACTAACACGGCTACCCCTCTGATGTGGAGAACAGTATCACCTGTGACTTGTCAGAGCTCTCGTCAGGTACATTGTACGTGTTGCAAGTGAACTTCTCTGATGAAATCATTTTCGTTCTGTAGATCATCCTTTCCCAAGTTAAAGTCCATGTTTCTCCATCAATATTGTCCAAACAGTTTTCTTGCTGTGCCCAGCAGTGTGGGAAACAGTATATTCAATCTGCGTGTGCATGGAAGAAGAGTGTTGTTTGTGTCTGCTTGAGGAAAGACAGGCAGAAGCTTCTCTCAAATAGTATGGACAGTCAATAAGCAACTATTACAGTATCACATGATGAGACATCTAAAAATACAGGCAATACTGTTTTCCTGCAAGGCATGATTCTTATATTGAATACTGATTAAATGGTTTGGATAAACTCAAGTAGCACTTAACTATTTAGCAAGCAATTTTTTAAGTTTGTTTCTTTCAGACATGGATTATGCATTTGCAACTTGGAGCTCTTGATAGGAATTGGAATGTGGCTAGTAAAATAATAGTGCTCTGAAAAGCAAAATATAACATCTTGGTAGGAAGTGAGTACATGGGATTGTATTTTGACATTACAGAATACTTAGGGCTTGTCTACATGGGGCATTATTGTGGTTTGGCTACTACACCTCTACCCCGATATAACGCGACCCGATATAACATGAATTTGGATATAACGCGGTAAAGCAGCGCTCCGGGGGCGGGCTGCATGCTCCGGCGGATCAAAGCAAGTTTGATATAACGCGGTTTCACCTATAACACGGTAAGATTTTTTTGGCTCCTGAGGACAGCGTTATATCGGAGTAGAGGTGTACTTGTAAAGTGTAGTAAGTCAGAGAGTGTGGGACTATGCAGCAAGCTAGTTTGCTGTGGATTCATTTTCTGGCTTGCCGTGCAGTAACATTCCATGTTGACAAGCCTTCAGTTGGTTTTGTATACCTTCAGAAGTGTCATAGAAACTTGTGCTGCCATTAAACATTTTCTAGTATATGACTTCAAATTTTACTTCCTAGTCACTTCTCTGCTGCTCCTCCATGCTGTTCAACATGAGTGACAGCGATGAACTTAATAAAATATTTTTCTGTAGAAATCTTAGACAGCAGCCGAGCTTGCGCGGCTGACTTTAGAATAATCGTGTTTGAGATGAAATGCTTATAGAGATTATCTAATGCACATGCTTTGGCATTGTCCTTACTTACATTGTCAATGTCTGGACAGAAGTGAAAAAGCACAGTATCATGCTTGAATTGTCTATTCCAGTGGAGACAAAGGTGTTTTGTGGAGTTTTTTGAGAACTTCATTCATTAAACCAACAGTGTCTTTGAAAGATGGCTTCTGAAAATGGCACTGGTAGTGAGTGGGACAAATTCTTCAGTCTTAGGAGTCCTGATCTGATGTCCTGACTGGAACATCTAATATTAGAACATGGATAATTTGGGCATTTTTTGATGACCTTTGGTCAATAGGTTTTTCGTTTACAGGAAGATTCTAATCATTGCATTAATTTTGTATTTAACGCTTATTTTCTCATATCACATGTGGTTTTGTGTTCTCTAGGATTTTTTGTCATATATTTTTAGTAGGTGTCCCATTTTCATCATAGTTTTTGTTTTAGCTGAGATGCAGGCTGTGTTGTCAAATATACTTCTATGGGGGAGTTGCATTAGTTTCATGCAAATGAACTACTTTGAGAGATTTGTATGTGCAAGTTTCATTGAAATATATTCACTTGTGTTTAAAATGTCAAATATATTTCAGCAGACAGTGAATAAAATGTTACTTTGTGTGTACAGGCGCTTGCAGCTTCTGGATGGGGAATATGAAGTAGCAATGCAGGAAATGGAAGAGTGTCCAATTAGCAAGAAAAGAGCAACATGGGAAACTATACTCGATGGGAAGGTATGGACCATTGTCCCATTATTCTACAGAATGCTTAAGAGTTAAGCTGCTGAGATCACTGCTGGTCACGCTGACCAATATTGTTTTATTGTTCACTTGTATTCCTCTGTCTGTATCATTTATTGTCTCTAGGCTTGTACTTAAATTGTAAGCTTCTTGGGGCAGGAATCGTTTTTGTTTGTACAGCTCCAAGTACAGTGGGGTCCTGGTCTATGACTAAGGCTCTTAAGCACTGCCACAATACAAATATTCAATAATACTCTAACTACAGTAAAATTAAGGTCACTACACAAACTAAACTTGTATTGAAATTCTCCATTTCTTCTTTGAGTGCTTGCTCGTGTCGATTCCAAGTAGGTGTGTGCGTGGGTTTTTCCCCTAGCGGTACCTGTCAGGTCGGCCTGGGCGCCCCCTTGAGTTGTGTCTTTATGGCGCCACATATAGGTCCCTGCCAACCCACCATCTTCTCAGTTCCTTCTTACCGCCAGTGTTGGTCGTTGGAGCTAAGGGTCTTTCTTGCTTCGGCAAGCATTTTCCCCTAGTGATTTTTGTATCTTCAATCTTTAAATAGTTAGTTTTAGTTGTAGTTAGTTTGTATTTAGGGGTTCTCCCCCACCCTAGTTTGTTCCCCTCTTGGGGCTCAGGATATGCCTTGATCCCAAGGATATAAACTGTGTGGGACCTGCCACAAGCCCATGCCAAAGGGCAATCCCCACAACTCCGGTCTAAAGTGCCTGGGAGAAGCACATCAAACAGATGGTTGCAGGATCTGCAAAGGGTTTCGCCCTAGAACTAAAAAGGAAAGGGATTCCAGGCTCAAGCAACTCCTCATGGAGGCAGCTCTCCATCCTCAGCCAGCTCTGGGCTAGCAGGACACAGCACCTCCGTGTGACGCACGCTAGCCTCCATTAGAGAAGCTACAGCACCGAGGAAGAACTTTTGGTGCACAAACCCTTGGCACAGTCAGTACCCGGCACCAAAGGCTGCTGTGGCAATACGGCACCACTCACATACAGAAGAGGCATAAGAAGAACAAAAGAGGGCACTCGCCCACAATGAGAGCAGCCAGGACTGACTGCGCTAGCGGTGTGCGACCCATGCTGGGGCACCCGGCACCTGTCTCGCAGGAAACGGCACCGTCAACTTCAGGCTTGCAGAGGGGTTTGTCCAGTTTGGCGCCGGTGGACTCTCCTGCTAGAGGGTGCCAAGTGGAGGAGTTAGAGCTCCCTTCCATTCTGGACAATTCGAGGTGGCTAGGGACCAGATGGCCATGATGGTACCGCAGTCCCCCACCAGACGAGATAGACCTCAGGCACTGCAAGGTGCGGTGCTGTCCAGAGGCAAGCCTGCAGTGATGCGGCACCATCCTGCTCAGTACCGGCATGGTCTCTGTGTTTGGAGTCTCAGTCATTGGACTCAGAGGCAGAGTTCTATTACTTAAGGCGCAGCCAGCACCGGTCGGAATGTGTGCCGCTATAGACAGGAGGCAGGCCAAGTTCCCCCTATGGCGCTGTGGCTGGTGCAGTGGCAGGGGCCCGTGCAATAGCCATTCTGGACCCCGTGGCCATACCATCAGGCCCAGGGTACCTATTCCAGGGGCTCACAGTAAGTTTCCGAAGGGCATGTCCCTCCACCACCCCAGGACTTGTATCCCATCATGAGGCACCGAGATGGCGTCGGATCCCAGCGCAGAGCCCTGTCCAGATACTGCCCCCGTAGCCGCCCCCAGCACCAAACAGCAAGGCATCAAGCGGGAAGATAGCAGGGAGCCAGAGGGTCAGGAGGGCCCAGTACTGCCTAGGACGTCGTCGTCATCTTTTCCCAATGAGGCAGTGGCGGGGTCATCTTCTTTTGTGCTGCCTCCCATTGTCAATAAAGCCCACCAGGAGCTGCTGCACAGGGTGGCTCAAAACCTAGGGCTACAGGCTGAGGAGGTGGTTGAGTCAGTGGACCCCCTGGTGGACATCCTAGCTCCCGAGGGGCCCTTTAGGGTAGCATTACCCCTCATAAAAACTATCCAGACCACCATGAAGACCTTGTGGTAGACTCCTGCCTCTATACCCCCTACAGCTAAGGGGGTAGAAAGGTAATATTTCGTTCCTTCAAAAGGGTACAAATACCTGTTTACTCATCCACAGCCGGGGTTGCTAGTGTAGCTGCTGTGAATGAAAGAGAAAGATGGGCAGCAGGGCCTAATCCCAAAATCCATGGACTCAAAAAAGCTGGACCTTTTCAGCAGGAGGGTGTACTCCACCGGGGGGTGGGGGGGGCTCCACCTTTGAATTGCTAACCAGCAAGCAGTCTTGAGCTGATACAGCTTCAATTCGTGGAATGCCATGACGAAGTTTAAGGAACCGATCCATGCAGACTCTAGACCAGAATTTGCATCTGTGGTGGAGGAGGGCCAGGCAGTGGCATGGACCTCTTTACAGGCCTCCCTGGACACAGCAGACATGCCCACATTGACCATATCCTCCGCCATTGCCATGAGGAGAAGTTCCTGGCTTCAAGTCTCGGGTCTCCTCCCAGAGGTCCAGCAGACAATACAAGACCTGCCCTTTGATGGGTTGGGGTTATTTTCAGAGTAGGCGGACTCCAGACTCCATAGCCTAAAGGATTCAAGGGCAACATTGAAGTCCTTGGGCCTGCGCACTCCTGCTACCCAGAGGAAGCATTTTAAGCCCCAACCTCCTCCGTGTTTCTACCCTCCCCAGCCTAGGTGGGACTTCTCCAGGAAGCGGGGCATGAATAACAGATGCAAGCCTTCCCATCTGCTGCCCAATTAGGGCCAGGGCTCAGTGAAGCAGTCCTCTGGCTTCAAGCACGCCTTTTGAGTCACCGGATCCTTCCCCCTGTTGTCTGAACTGTCTGTCCCACTTGTATTGTGCATGGGCCCAGATACCCTTAGACTGCTGGGTTCTCCACATGGTAGACATGGGATATTCTCTCCAATATTGCTCTTCCCTCCCATCCCTCTTCCTGGTCCCAACTTCTTACGCCGGAGGTGCAAACACTCCTAGCTGCAGGAGCTTTAGAGGAGGTCCCTCAGGAGCTATGAGGCAAGGGTTTTTACTCCCGATATTTCCTAATCCCCAAAGCCAAAGGGGGTCTCAGACCCATTCTCGACCTCTGAGGCCTCAACAGATTCATGAAGAAACTGAAGTTCCGCATGGTCTTTTTGGCTGCCATCATCCCATCCCTGGATCCAGGGGACTGGTACACAACCCTTGACTTGAAGGACGTATACTTCCACATATTGATAGTCCCGTCCCGCAAACTTTCTCAGGTTCATAGTGAATCACAGCCATTACCAGTTTACAGTCCTTCCCTTCAGCTTGTCTGCGGCCCCTCGAGTGTTCGCCAAGTGCATGACAGTCGTGGCCGCCTTCCTAAGGAGACAGTAGGTGCAGGTGTTCCCGTATCTTGACAACTGGCTTGTCAAGGGCTGCGCTAGGGCTCAGGTTGAGGCACATGTACATTTAAAACGATTGAGCTTCGACAGTCTGGGGCTATTGCTGAATGTGCCCAAGTCCACCCTATCCCCAACCCAGAGGATAGAGCTTATAGGAGTTGTGCTAGACTCCACCCAAGCCAGGCCATTCCTGCCAGAGTCGTGCTTCCAGACCATGTGCTCTATTATAGAGGACTTTCAACGTTTCCCCATCACCACCATGACAGAGCTGCTTGAAGCTGTTTGGTCACATGGCTGCTTGCACATACGTAGTCTGGCACGCAAGACTGTGGCTCAGAGCCCTTCAGGCCTGGCTGGCTTCGGTATACCGCCCAGACAGTCAGTTTGGACAGGGTAGTCTTGCTTCCTCCTTGAGTTGTCGAATCTCACTGGTGGTGGCTCAACCCTCAGGCAATTTGCACAGGAGTGCCCTTCTCTAGACCGCAACCAGCGATGTCACTAGTCAGACATTTCAGCGTAGGGTGGGATGCGCATCTAGGTGAGCTCAGGACGCAAGGCCTCTGGTCTCAAACAGAACTTTTGCTCCATATCCATGTCAGAGAGTTGAGGGCGGTTCGCTTAGCCTGTCAAACCTTCCAATCCCACCTGGAGGGCAGATGTGTCATGGTCATAATGGACAATACAACAGCGATGTTTCATAGAAACAGACAGGGTGGAGCATGCTTCTCTCCCCTATGCCAGGAAGCCCTCAAGCTGTGGGACTTTTGCATAGCTCACTTAATATACCTAGAGGCATCTTACTTTCTGGGATCCCAGAATGAGCTGGCGGGGACCATCTTAGCAGATCCTTCCATGCCCATGAGTGGTTGAGTTTCCTGCACATTGTGAACAGTATCTTCCAATTGTGGGGAGTTCCCCAGGTGGACCTGTTTGCGACGGAAGTGTCAACAGTTTTGCTCCTTCCTGAATCACAGCCCGGGCTTGACTGAGGATGCATTTCTCCTCCTCTGGAAGGACCGTTTGTTTTGTGCTTTCCCACTTGTTCACAAGGTCTTGCCCATGATCAGAAGAGACAGTGTGTCAGTCATTCTGATAGTGCCAGCCTAGCCCCGCCCACACTGGCACACATTGTGAGAACTGTCAGTAGCTGCTTCGATCGCCCTGCAGTTGGTGCTGGATCTCATCACCCGAGACCACAGTCGCCTCCAGCACCCCAACCTTGAGTCTCTCCACCTCATAGCATGGAAGCTTCATGGCTAAACGCCATGGAGTTGGCGTGCTCTGAACCTGTCAGGGAGGTCCTCCTCAGCAGCCAAAAGCCGTATGCTAGAGCCACTTACTTAGCTAAGTGGATGAGATTTTCCATTTGGGTGATGCAAAGGGGAACGTCTCCGACTCAAGCATCAATACCTTCCATCTTAAACTGTCTGTTGCACTTGAAGCAGTCAGGTCTGGCGGTGTCATCCTTAGAGGTTCACCTAGCAGCCATCTTGGCGTTTCACTCAGGGGTGGACGGTCAATCAGTCTTCGCTAGTCCAATGGTAGGTTGTTTTCTCAAGGGCCTGGAGAGGTTATACCCTCCAGTCCATCAGCCAGTACTAGCATGGGATCTTAACCTGGTGTTCTCCAGTTTAATGGGACCTCCCTTCGAGCTCACTCTTCTACCTCTCATGGAGAGTAGCATTGGGTGTCTGAGATCAAAGCCTTGACATCTGAACCTCCATACACAGTCTTCTACAAAGACAAGGTCCAGTTGTGGCCCCATCCAGCCTTTCTGCCAAAGGTGGTATCTCAGTTTCACATAAGTTAGGACATTTTCCTTCTGGTGTTTCACCCTAAGCCATACACCAACAGCGGAGAACAAAGACTCCATTCCCTGGATGTGAGGCGGGCTTTGGTCTTCTATATTGAAAGGACAAAACTGTTCCGGGAGTCTAACCAGCTATTTGTTGCCAAAGCGAATAGGACGAAGGGCCTCCCTGTATCATCCCAAAGAATTTTGTCGTGGAACATTCGGGCGTGTTACGACCTGGCGAAAGTGCCAGCCCTGACGCTAACAGCACATTCTACATGGGCGCAGGCCTCCTCGGCCACTTTCCTGGCACAAGTCCCTGTACAGGAGATTGACAGGGCAGCGACCTGGTCCTCAATCCTCTCGTTTACTTTGCATTATGCCAACATGCCAGGAGTGATGCAGCTTTCGGCAGAGCGGTGCTTCAATTATCGAATCTGTGAGCTCCGACTCCTCCTCAGACGGTCTGCTTGGGAGTCACCTACTTGGAATCGACATGAGCAAGCTCTCGAAGAAAAAACGGTTACCTACCTTCTTGTAACTGTTGTTCTTTGAGATGTGTTGCTCATATCCATTCTAAGACCCACCCGCCTTCCCCTCTGTCAGAGACTCTGGCAAGAAGGAACTGAGGAGCCGGCGGGTCAGCAGGGACCTATATGCAGCGCCATGAAGGTGCAACTCCAGGGGGTGCCCAGCCTGACCCAAAAGGTACTGCTAGGAGGAAAACCTTATGATGACTGTGCTTGCGGCATGCATGTGCCTACTTGGAATCGACATGAGCAACACATCTTGAAGAACAGTTACGAGAAGGTAGGTAACTGTTTTTATGGAACTTGGTGTTTCATTTAAGTGCCACGTTAATTTGAAAATCAGTTATATATTACATTTGACTCGGGCAAACCTACAAGAATACGGTCCAGAAAGAAAATAGTAAACAATACATTTAAAAAAAAAAAAAAAGACAGAACTTCTAGAAAAACAAGCTGGAGCATAAAAACACAATCATAAGAAGATTAGTGATCATGGACTTTTGGGCCCTCACTCATATTGGTGAGCCATTATTCACACCAGTAGGCCCATTGAGGTGAGAACTTTTCAAGTAACTGCACACCAGTGTGTGAGGAGACAGGGAGGGAGAGTCACAATTTGTCCCTTAGTGTTAAGCATTTAAAAAAGTTTAAATTTAAAAATGCTATCTTGAGAGTACAAGAGTCTAAATTTAGAAAATGATTACAATTATGATCAAAAGCCACTTGTACATTTTCATTTGTTGGGGGGGAAGTGTCACTTCACCCATAAAAGCTTTTTTATGCAAAGTAATTTCAGTGTTTTCCCAAGTAAAAACATGGGTTGTTGTTTTCCCCCAGAGGTTACCTCCATTTGAAACATTTTCTCAGGGACCTACACTTCAGTTTACCCTTCGTTGGACAGGAGATACAAATGATAAATCTACAGCTCCTATAGCCAAACCTCTTGCAACACGAAATTCAGAAAGTCTCCCTCAAGAAAACAAGCCTACTTCTGTTAAACCTGCTCAGACTATAGGTAAGCGAACACCCAGTTTCTTATGTTTTGGGGACACTGATTTTTTTGGGGTCTTAACAGTCTCTTTGAGCTCTTCTACACTGAAATGCTCACTTTAAGAATTCCTTATTGCTGCATTACTAAATTAAAAAACAAACCTGTGGGGTGCCTTGTTACACCAGTGGAGCTATAAAAGATTATGTAAAACCACTGCAGCTGAAACAAGTGGTGTATGTACTGGTTTTCCTAATTCATTTTTTGTAGGATTATTGTATTTTAATTGCTTTACTGAAGATTTTTTTAATGGAACTTTAAGGTAAGCAGAACATGGAATAGCTGTCCTCAAGTTTATTTTAAGACTAGCAGGTGAGATCAGTTTAAATATTCATAAGCAGATAGATAAATGCTTATCTTACATATTGATATGATATAAGTCTTTGGAAAGGTAGTGGTAGAATCTAAGGGTACATCTACACTACCCACCGGATCGGCAGGTAGCGATTGATCTATCGGGGATCGATTTATCACGTATAGTGTAGATGCGATAAATCGATCCCCGATCGCTCTCCCGTCGACTGCTGAACTCCAGCTCTGCGAGAGGCGGAAGCAAAGTCGACGGGGGAGCCGCGGCCGTCGATCCCATGACGCAAAGACGCGAAGTAAGTAATTCTAAGTCGATCTAACACCGTCGACTTAAGCTGAAGTTGCGTATCTTAGAACATTCTTCCCCCCCCCCCCTTCCACACACCGCCCCCATAGACCAGGCCTAAGTATACTTTTTCTAGGATTTTCTGCTTTCCTAGATTGCCTTAATCTTTCTAATTTATTAACTGAAATTTCATCCAACTCATGCACTGTGGTGAAAATGATCCAATTAGTCCAGAATTTGGCATTCATATGACAATTGTGTAACACTTAACATCCAGTTGTTTCTAACATAGTGGAAACAACAAGGAGTCTGGTGGCACCTTAAAGACTAACAGATTTATTTGGGCATAAGCTTACTCACGAAAGCTTATGCCCAAATAAATCTGTTAGTCTTTAAGGTGCCACCAGACTCCTTGTTGTTTTTGTAGATACAGACTAACACGGCTACCCCCTGATACTTAACATAGTGGAAAAACACTGTCTGAAATAGTTGGTGCTTTAAGTCAGAATACATTTTGATAAAAGTTTAAGGGACGGATGTTTCATTTGGCATTCATCAGAATATAGAGATTTTGTAATCTCTAGAGCTAATTTTTACATTGTCTGGGAATGATATTGAACTGGTAATGATCCCCTTGACGTGTAATTGATATAGTGTATTGTAAACCTCAACTATATTTACTGTTCAAGTAAGATGAGTTTCTTAGACACTTGTCAGGGTTTTCAATTTTTTGCCCTTTTTTGCTCGATACTTTGCATGTGACTAGCTGATGGAAATTACTTACTCTTGGAATATCATGCTTGTACTTTCCATCTACATGAAAGAGGAGTTCTGAAAATTGTAATAACTCAGCCTTCAGAGGAGCTGCAGTAGCTCCAATTTCTACTCATAATGCTCAGCGGTAAAACTGTGTACTGATGTCCTGTTGGTAAATTAGAACAAAGCTGACTTAGTCATTTGTAATTGTCTGAGGTAAATTAGTATTCATAGAATATAGGTGAAGCTTTAATACTCAGATTTTTGTGTTTTTTATTATTGAACTGCTCTTTTGACCATCTTTCTCCTCAGCAACCTGTTAGTGGAAGAGTTAGTAATTCTAAGGATCAGAGCTCTAGCTATTAAAAATCTTCCAAACTTTGTTCTGTCTTTCCATTTTGGTTAAATGAATTTTCTCTTGACACTTTCTCTTTTTTTCCCCCCTCAGCAACCTGTTAGCGTTTACTGTAAGGTCTTCCCGTAACGGATTGGGAGTCTAGATTCAAACTGTAACAATGTCAGTGTTTAAAATGTTTTCTTCATCACTGCATTAAATGTCATTAAAGTCAAGCAATATTGGCTAGAGTGCTCTTTTCAAATTCATTTAATGTTAGTTCAGAATGCTTCAGTTAAGAAAATGACTTGTTGAAATGTTCTCTGTTTCATTCCCATTTTAATTTATAATAGAATTGAAGACTTTAATGGATTACTGTAGTTAAAAAAAATTTAAATGGTAGTATTAATTTTATATTTTTGCATTTACTTAATCTTAATCTCTTGTACTCAATGCAATATTAGTGGAACAATTGGGTTTTTATATATAGATGTTGGTGCTATTGTGCAAGTAGAAATTTAAATCACTTTTGTCAATATTATCTGGCCCACTACTTCTTCAGAGACCTGTTTTATCATAACCTATTGATATTAACTGCATACCTAAGATAGACATTTTTTCATTCATCTGGCATAGTTAAATTGGTTTAATTTATATGAACTAGTATTTTGATGCACCTTAGAGACTAACAAATTTATTTGAGCATAAGCTTTCGTGGGCTACAACTCACTTCTTCAGATGCATAGAATGGAACATATAGTAAGGAGATATAGATATATATACAGAACATGAAAAGGTGGAAGTAGCCATACCAACTTTAAGAGGCTAATTAATTAAGATGAGCTGCTATCAGCAGGAGGAAAAAAAACTTTTTTGTAGTGATGATCAAGATGACCCATTTCAGACAGTTGACAAGAGGTGTGAGGATACTTAACATGGGGAAATAGATTCAATCTGTGTAGTGACTCAGCCATTCCCAGTCTCTATTCAAGCCTAAGTTAATAGTATCTAGTTTGCATGTTAATTCAAGTTCAGCAGTTTCTCGTTGGAGTCTCCTTACTATATGTTCCATTCTATGCATCCGAAGAAGTGGGCTGTAGCCCACGAAAGCTTATGCTCCAGATAAATTTGTTAGTCTCTAAGGTGCCACAAGTACTCCTGTTCTTTTTGCAGATACAGACTAACACGGCTGCTACTTTGAAACCTAGTATTTTGATGAGCACTATTGAAATGCCTGTACATAAAAATAAAATGGCAAAATTATACACAAGCCTAAAGAAATGTCTTCAGTACCTATTTAAAAGCTGTCACCTAAATTTGTAAGGGGGTCATTTTTGAAAGTGTATTTTTATTGCATATAAAATTATACCTAGACTTGATTTGCATTGAGAATTACAGTGGCTATATTAGAAACCCCTTGTAAAAGGGATTAATATAGGCATCTGTCATAGCTATAGTGTTGGAGGTAAGGTATGAAAATGACATTAGCTCTCTTTTCAAAAAAGACACTTCTCAGTTAAAGGTCCTAAAACTTCAAAATAGAAAATTTTACCTTTTACTCCTATAATAAGCCTTGCTTATAAGCATCATCGTTGAAATCTTGCAAATCTATTCAGATTTTCAAGATATAGTATTATTTATAAAACCTTAACTGGCTTGGAAACTTCCAGTGTCCCTCATATAGGTTTTAGCTGGAATGCAGTTCTGTCCACCAGGATTTAATTCCTAGAGGTTGCAGGAGGCAGTTATTCTCTTCAGAATCTCCTCTGTTCTGGAGTTTCTTCTTCTTGTTCGCTTAAGTCTGATGCCTTTAGGATGGTAATGCAAGATGCATTAATTTAATCTCTTGTTTGCTGATTTTGGTCCATTGGAATAGTAACTGTCTGTGGCTGGAGGTAATAACAGGAGAAGGTCTGTTTTGTGGCCATTTGTTTCCAATAGGTGCATGTTTTTATAATTTGCCCAACTATTGCGTTATACAGTAATAAACTACATGGGTCACAAGTGGCCCCTATCTCTATACAGCTTCTTCCAAGGGATGGGAATTCATTTAACTACTTCAGCTCTTCTGTATAATAATGCAGACACCAGTCAGCAACAGCATCTGTGCCCAGCTGTCCAGAAGTCCATGCCCAACCTTCATAGGATGAACCTTAACTTTCTCAGCCATACTCAGAATGGCAGCTGCACCTTCTAGGAATCTGAGATGCTGTCCAGAATAAAGCACTGAAATGATGCTGTCCTCAGTAAGGCCTTCCTAGTGCCAGATCCTTTTGATTAATCCTTCACCCAAACTAGGGATTAGAGATGGGATAGGAGCTACTTCGTGACTGGAAATAGGGACTGCTAATTCAGCCCAGATAAACTTGGATAAGTCCCAGTAGAGGAAGCCCTCAGGAGGAAGTTGTATTCCCCCTCAACTGGCAAAGTTCCACTTCTTTCTCACTGCTTCTCCATGCCAGGTCTCCTGGTGGTCCACTGTTTCTCTGGGCTTGGCTAACGGTGGAATTGTTGAGCAGAATAGCAGTTGACTGCAGAAATGAACAGAGAGGGACAAGAAACGGGTTGTTGGCCAGAAAACCTGCATTGCTAATTTGTCTTGCATCAGAGCAGCTTATCAAGCAGAAGATCATATTCTCCCAGTTAAGAGATCCCACCAGGCAAGGTGCTCCAAAGCAATCTGCAATCAATAGACGATCTTGAAGCTATATTTATCAACTAAAACAAAACTTTCAAGATTCTGCAATAGATTCATCTCAGCACTTTGGACCATTGACAAGTTGTTTTTTATAGTGGAAAGAAGTTTCTAATACCTACATCTTATTTCCTGAGTGTTGAGAAGTGAAGATGGACAGAAAATACCTGATTATAACATCTGCAGATTGGGATGGGCTGTAGTGGAACCCAGACATCAAAGGATACGATCTGATGCAGCTTTCTGAAGGATAAATACGCTCTGAATGTTGTCAGCTGTGTTCCTGGGAGACTTGTGAAAGGATCTCTCTCAGACAGTAAAGCTTTTCAGAACATTGGGTTGACCCTGTGCTAAATCCTGAAAACCAGTAAGAAAGCTTACTACCCATGGAATGTTAGTTCTTTGTAGGTGGTACAAAGAACAAGGGGTTTAGGTCCTCTTCTTGCTTTTATGTTGGAATTCTAGTAAGGGTATGCACATTTTCACCTGTTCCTAAAATCTTAAGTGTGGAATGTCTGCATTTTGTAAACAGCTTGAAAATCAAGATTCTATATTTAGTGACTAGAGACTAATTTTGACCCATTTTGTTGACCATTCAGAGGCAAGTAGGTTTTATAATTGGTCTCGCTTCTTAGTGGGTAGACTCTTTTTAAGGATCAAGTTGTATACTTAGGTCTCTTGTCTCTGACCTCCATTTGAGTCTACGTATTGCATGTAATTTTTCTGGCTTACTATTGGTAACTTGCCTAGTGGGCATCACGTTACTATGCTGAATGAAAGGAATGATCATAGTGGGCTGAAAGGGAAGCTGTTGGTACAGACTGTGTGCCAAGCACCTATTTGATGATTGAATCGTACTGTCAACTAAGGAATTGTTATATGCATATGTGACGCCAAAACTTGACCCTAATATTAACCAAAAAAGTTTGATTTCAGGCAAAAATGCTAAATTATATACTTGTTTTTTACATTATAGCTGCATTTGATACTGTGTGTTCTCTTGTCTGACTTAAGAAATCTTTGAAATTTGAATTTAGGCAATGTGTTCTGAGTGCAGTCATCTGAAGCTATATTTTTCAGTGTTTCCCACCCAGGTCTGTTTTGACTATTACTAAAGAAATGTCTTAACTTAAATGGAGAAGCCCAGACCAGAAAAGAGAACATTGTTCTTAACTTGAAATGTTCAGGTAATCTGAAGGGTTCCCCCAATCTGGAGAGCCACTTGGTATTTAAATGATATTTGTAACTATAGATTTGAGAAGGAAGCTGAACGCTAAGACTCGTTGTTTGGTGAGCTACCCAACTCAGAGTACAATGAAGTAGCTCATTCCCTCCAGAATGAGGGAACCCTTTACAGAGCTGCTCTATTCAGGTAAGAAACAATGTCCTTTTCCCATCACACTAAACAGATGTGCATGTCTTTATACATATGTTCTTTTTGTAGCTGTGAAAGAATCCTTGCCAACAGACCTACAAACAAGAAAAGAGAGAGATGTTTTAAATGAACCTCGACAAAAGTTACGAATATTTTACCAGGTATTGGAAGTTTAACACCATTAAGAATGGAGGAGTACATAAGTATTATAGAATTTAAATGTTCAGGCCTGATCTTTATGCAGATTTTCCCATCTGTGTGAAAGAGGAGGCATTTTTAGCTATATCTGCAGCACTGTCCCAGTTGCCACTTCAGCAGAATAGCACTTCCCCTAGATCATTCCCATAGGGAATATGTGTGTGCGCGCTAAAGTGATGGGTTTTTAACTGGGTTTTGAGGGTGGAGGACTAATAAATGAAATATTTCAGATAATGCTAATACCAACCTTTTTTTTTTTTTTTTTTGCATCAGTTCCTGTATAACAACAATACAAGACAGCAGACTGAAGCCAGAGATGACTTGCATTGCCCCTGGTGCACGTTGAACTGCCGCAAACTTTATAGTTTACTCAAACATCTTAAGCTTTGTCACAGCAGATTTATTTTTAATTATGTTGTAAGTAATCTCAACAGTTATCAGTATGAAACAGTCTGTCATAGATATTGTATAGCGCAGTGACATCATTGCCATTCTGTTGTAAGTCACATAGTCAGGGTCAGCTCCCTGTTTAAGTATGTGAGGCCAAAATTGGGCCCCAAGAGATTTCCCTCTCTCCCCCCTCCCCCCCCCCTCCCCCCTATTGACTTAATCTTTAACAGTACAGGAGAATCACTTCAGTTTAGAATATTTTTCTTCACTGTAGTTGTCTTTTGATACTGTGTATTCGTTTATATGATGTAGTCAGTAATTTAACTTAGATTTAAAATCAGGAATTTCCTGAGATTTTAGGAAGCAGTTAACGATTCCAAGTCCTGTTAATTTTAGTTTAGTAAGGGACTGTATCCAAAAGATTACTTAAGAAATGTTTCCTTTCCAATGCATTGTTTCAGTGTTTTCAAATCACTAAATTTATTTCTGATTTCCTTCATTTTAAACTCTAAGATTCCTATTTCCTCTTTTTGTCTATATCATGTCCATATTGTAGCTTCAGCACTTGGAGATCTGGTTAGAATATAGAGCAAGGACTGGCAGGTTTCCTAAAGGATTCATAAAACTTTTGAGGCACTCTTCTGAATCACTTCTGTATTTGTGAGCTTCTGAATATTAATTTTTAAACTGGTTACTTTTATTGAGTTTTTCAAACCAAACTGATGGCTTTGTATTAAAATCCTTGGATGAAAAGGGTGAGAGTGAAGCATCCAGGATGAAGAGGCCTTTGTTTGCATCTAAAGGAAAAATTGTTACTTAAGTTGTCTCACTATCTCTGGGGAAGGAAGAGAAAACTAGAACCATGTGAGACTTGATACTGTGGATGCAATGATTTTGTAAGGCATTTTGAGTTTGAACAGTCACTGTTCTAAAACTCCTTGAGGGATTGAGAAAAAGAGGATAAATCCTGTTGCAATAGTGACTTTCCTTTATTATGCTAAATGTATTTACTATTGTTTGTTACAGTATCATCCAAAAGGTGCTAGGATAGATGTTTCTATCAATGAGTGTTATGATGGCTCCTATGCAGGAAATCCTCAGGATATTCATCGTCAGCCTGGATTTGCCTTCAGTCGCAATGGACCAGTCAAAAGAACTCCTATCACACACATCCTTGTATGCAGGTAGGGGAATAAAAAGTGAAGTGGTGTTCTATATATATTGCATGGACCAAACTCTGCCTTTATATACCCATTGGTTTCTGTAAAGTTGCACATGGTTTGAGGGTAGAATTTGTTCCTCTGTTTGAAAACCAGGAAAGGAAATTCAAAGTGAACGAGTAGTTGTATTTTGAAAAGTGACCTTGTAAAGTGGTATTGAGGGCTATCATCACCAGTGATTCCATATAAAACTAGTTCACTTTTTAAGTAAAAAGATGCTTTCATAGCTGCCAGCCATACCCAGCTCATCCTGTGTTCTGAAAGATAAGGTATGTTCTTTTTCTTGTGCTTCACCAGTAATGATGATTTTTAATTTGGAGCATAGTTACAAATCTCTGAGACAGAAAAGAATCCAGCTGAGTCTTCTATATGTACTGGCTCTGTAATGCTAACAGGAGTAAAAAGTAGTAAAAGGGTATTGTTACTGAAGCAAGCAGATATGACCAACCTTGCTCTTCATGTATGTTCAGTCAAGTAAGAATATGGTATTTTCATATTCTGTTTAATCTGACTGTAACGGCGCTCTTAAATTATATTATTCAGATACTTGCACAATAACTTATTCTGAGGTCTAATATGGTTTTTATGCTTAATCTTTTGTATTAGATTTGGAAACTACAATATACACAACCCAATAAAATGACAAGTATTAGTAATTAGTACCACTGGTGACTAGTGTTTGCATAGCTGAAGTCTGATAGAACTGAAAACTAACATGTAAAGCATGCTTAGTTATTTTTTTTTCTTTCATTAGGCCAAAGCGTACAAAAGCAAGTATGTCAGAATTTCTTGAATCAGAAGATGGAGAAGTGGAACAGCAAAGAACATACAGCAGTGGACACAATCGGTTATATTTCCACAGTGATACCTGTTTACCTCTCCGTCCACAAGAAATGGAAGTAGACAGTGAAGATGAAAAAGATCCTGAATGGCTGAGAGAGAAAACTATTACAGTAAATTATTTATGTACAAAAATGTATTTAGATGAATTTTCCTTGCCTATATTTTATTAAAATTATCCAGCAAACAATTTATCAATTTTGCTAAGCAGAGTTAGTTTTCCATCACTCAGAAATCCAAATAGTGGTGTGTATATATACACACCTGCTCTTATTAGACTAGTCAAATGGAACCTAGCCTTTGGGATTAAAGCCCTGAGTTCATTAGAGTTGCACCACTTACATGAAATGTTTATCCATTTGAACTGCAGGCACTAAAGTGAACGTGAAGTCTGTCCTCAGTTGCAGTTCACATAATCTTACAGGCTCCCTTCATTTTCATATGTTGCTATTATTTAGTGCAGGAATACCCCTTGATAGCAGGAAACATACGGAAATGTGGATTTAGTAATAAAGGACTTGCACATGACGTTTTTACACCATGATCTACCCTGACTGAAGAGTATTTTGATGAATTTACAGGAGCAGTTGTTTCTGTGAAATATAGGTGATTGAAAACCAGGAAAGGAACTTCAAAGTGAACAAGTACTGTATTTGCTAACCTTGGGATTTTAATGTTTGTTTGATATTTTCACTGCAGCAAATTGAAGAATTTTCTGATGTTAACGAAGGAGAGAAAGAAGTGATGAAATTGTGGAATCTACATGTTATGAAGCACGGGTATGATCGTTTCTTGTAACTTTTACTAGAATAGACTTATTTTATACCATTCTTTGCTGCATCGAAGTTGGCTTAAAATACACAATTAATTTGTATGTGTTTAACCTTTTAAATGTAGTGGATCCTCCTTTCCTCTTTACTCGCTATACTCAATCTTGAACAGTACCTTATCAGAGGATATTAAAATCCTGCATTTTGATTGCAGTTTCTGGAAGCTGGGGCATTTGGGATGCTATTTCTAATTATGCCTTTGATCCTGGAGGGATCACAAAGTACTTTAAAACTGAGTGAAATGCTTCACATAGCACTAAATTACAACCAGCTCTGGGGAGAAATGGAGCAACTATTTAACAGTGCACAGACATTTAGAAAGGACGTAAACATATTGTATTCAATGGAAATTGGAAGAGGTAATTTAGGTAGGCAAATTCGTATTGCTTGAATTGGAATTTGCCAGAACGTCTATGCTAACTCTCCCTTCTCTTGCAAAAAGTCCAGTAGAATCTTCAGTAGCCACAGCTGCCTAGGATCTTGGATGAGACGCTACTTTTGCTAAACAGTGTAGCATGTGTAAAGGAATTTTTCTCTACACCTAGTGTATTTATTTTCTAGCCTTAATTTTTCAAAGCCAAGTTGAAAAGGAAAATCAAACATCTGATGTGGTGTAAACATAAATCCAGCAAGTCAAATACCTTCTATAGCTAAGACCACAGCTGTATTGCATCAATGATGACCCAGGAATCATGAAGTATACCTGTGGTTTGATGTAACCGAAATATAAGTGCCACAAATAACTTCTTTTAGAACTATCTCTACATTCTTATTTACTTATACTAAGGATGACGACATATTCTGAAACTGATCCAACAAGTCTCTACCATGATTTAATTGATTTGTTTGTAATTCACTGAACAGATATAGAGCACTTAAAATCCAAAGGGAGATCAGTTTAAAAGAGGAATGTGCTGCAGTGTGTGTGCATTTTCTTACTATTTTAGATTAATCTCTGGAAATTTTGAAAGCTTTTATATCTGGAAGCTCCCAGACTCTGATAGTGACATTACTATTAGTGATGTGAACTACATGTTATATTGCTTTTGATTTCCAAAATGTTTTACTTCCATACTAACAATTTTTTAATTTGACAGGTTTATTGCTGACAATCAAATGAATCATGCCTGTATGCTGTTTGTTGAAAATTACGGACAGAAAATTATTAAGAAGAACTTATGTAGAAATTTTATGCTTCATCTGGTCAGCATGCATGACTTTAACCTCATTAGCATAATGTCAATAGACAAAGCTGTTACTAAGCTTCGAGAAATGCAGCAGAAGTTAGAAAAAGGAGAATCAACTACCCCAACAAATGAGGAGTTTTCTGAAGAACAAAGTGGGACAACAAATGGATATAGTGAAACTAACACGAGAGAGAGAGTTTCAGAAACAGATAGTGTCTCAGGGGTCACAAAACAGAGCAAAAAACAAAAGCTCTGAAGGAAAAGGCAAATGCCATTCAATGGACAAACATTGAAGTGACATTCTAGGGTGCATGAGCTATATAAAGAATTAAACAAAAAATTACACAGGTTCCAAACAGGCACTGTTGGATGGAAATAAATGATTTCAACAAGGATATTGTTACAACAGATTCCTATTCAGTTAATTATGCAAGTACTACATGTATATCAGTTTTGGTGATGTAATGAAAATATTCTAAGAGTTTGAGCATGAAGAGCAATACAAAAATCTTTTTGTAATTTTAGTAATTAGTATCTTATGAACTCTACTGAATTTACATAATTTAAGTATATGTAAAACAGTTTTTTATATTAAGGTTTTTGCATCTGTACCTGGCTGTTTTTCCTACCATGAAGTTGTGAAACATTGGGAAGGGATTGGGATACAATTTGCTTTTTTTAATTTAGAAATGCTCCAGTTAGCTTTTTTGTGAAAATATGCATCATTATTTAAAGTTTAACCTTGATCCTTGTTTTTTGGAATCATTTATCAATTTATGATCATCATAAACCACAAATTGATAATTTTTTTACACTAAAATTGTAAAAGTTTGCAAATTTAACATAGCACTTCTTTGTCTTGTGCCTGTTTGGAAAGACCTTGGCTTTTCACATTACAGACACAGTGAAATACCATCTTGGCTTTTTGAGGTTACTGGCAGTTTGTTTTTTGTGGATAATTCTGATGTATTGATCGCCCAGTGTACCATTTTAAACTTGAACATTTAGCTACTTTCTATTTTTATTACACCTTTACACAGCTACAAAAGAACTATCTGGTGTCTAACTCTTTTTTTAAAGGGTTGCATCGTAGTGTGCCATGCTAAGGCCCAGTCAGTATGTAGTCATTACTCTGATAAATACTCCAGTTGGAGTTATGCATACTGTTTTGCCTGAGTACAGACTGCAGGATCAGGCAATAGATTTAGCTTGGGCTTTTGAGATACCACTCTTCAGGAAAAATGCACTGTAAAATTGGACCAGAAAATGTGTTGCACTTCTTATGCAAGTATTCTGTGATGTATTGTATTCAATACAGATACTAAGATGCTGACTAAAATATATTTGAGCAGTTTTGCACTGCTGTTAACACATTTTATGCATATGTTTACAGATTTTTTCCAATGGAAAGTGGTTTCACTACTGGTACAGTATCAGCACCGAAGGGTTTATTCAAGCAAGCACTGTGGTTGTGACATCACCTCAATTTTTTATTATCCTTAAGATATTGCATTTTTCATATTCTTTATTTATAAAGGAACAATGCTGCTGTAAATACAGGTATTTTTAATTTTTTATTTCATTCCATCACCATAAGATGCATTTCCCTATTTTGTTTAAGGGATATATAAGCTTTCTAATGGTGTCTTCAGAAATTTATAAAATGTAAATACTGATTTTGATGGTCCTTAAGATGTGTTTAACTGTGAGACTATTTAACTAATGGTGTGGATGTGATTTGTCATCCAGTATTAAGTTCTTAGTCACTGATTTTGTGTAAAAATAGGAAAGAGGGAAACTGCAGCTTTCATTACAAACTCTTTGATTTGTCAGTTCTGAGTTATAGCAAACTCTAATTATGCCTCTGGGTAGTACATCAAGCATTTCTCTCTGGCTTTAATTTGCTAAAGCTGTGCACATATGTAAAAAAAATAGATTATTTTAGGGGAGATGTAGTTCTAGAATTATTGCTTATGTCATTTCTTAAGCAGTTATGCTCTTAATGCTTAAAAGAAGGCTAGCATTGTTTGCACAAAAAGTTGGTGATCCCCAAAAAAGTAATGAAATTACTTCTGTCCAGTAAACTTTGTATGTCATGTCAATTTATAATAAAAGCTGAAAAAATCCCTTTGTTTTCTATTTATAATAAAGATGCCTTTTCTATATGTACCCTTAACAAGAAATTTTGAAGAAATCATGTAAGCTGGTTAAAAAGCATTTGAATGGTACAGTAGATGTAAAGAAAGAAGCAAGTTCAGTTGTTTAAATGAACCTTTGTTTTTACATTAAATGTTTATTTGAAATCAGATTTTGTACATAAAGTTCAGTAATATAAAATCTGCCACCATCGTTGTCCAGTCATTTTGTGTGCGTGCAAAAAGGCCACAAATAATACCTTGTCTGAACAACGTAACTTTCTTTTCAGTTTTCAGTTTTGACCAAATCTGGATCATCTACAGTCTCCATCTGTCAGGTTGTTACAGTTCTCCTGTCTATATTAGAGTTTTATATGGTCACCCATTGTTGTAGTATCTGAGTGCCTTCCCCATAAAATCAGTATTGAAATCCCTAATGGACTTCAGGGAGTCTCTGGTTCTTGCTCTTTTGAAGGTTTAAAAAAATCCGCTTGAGATTTTTTTGTTTCATTTACAGGTTTTTATTTCATCCTTTTTTGAGGGTGGGTGTTTGGGGTAGATGGTGTATATGTTGTGAGCTAAGGCCCCTCTAAGTTGTGCGGCTGCCCAGTAGGCTATCAAGTGCTGTGCACTTCAGGTGTCCCTCCCCCCCACTGCTGTGCTGCTCCTGCCCTCTGCCTTGGAGCTGCTCCTGGGAGCCTCCTGCTTGCTGTGCAGGGTGGGGAGCACTGATGTCAGGGTGTCCCCCATCTCCACAGAGCGGGGTTGGGGGGGACGACACATGACGGGTCAGGACAGAGGGAGCTTGCTGGCAGCTGCTGCTGCATCTGGACATGCCGGTCTACTTAAAAGGGCAGCATGATTAAAGGGGCAGTGCCCCTCACGCGCGTGTTCTCTCTCTCTCACTGTGTGTGTGGGTGTCTGACACTCACCTCCCAACACTTGTGGTGGTGGTCTTGATACTTCTTTCAAAGGAAGGTGGACTTTGACACACAGAAATTCAGCAAAGCTGCTTCTTGACTAGTTGGAGTAGGCAAATAACAATAGTAATGGCCAGATGGAGTCAATATGAAAGGAGTTTTCAGAAGAGATGGGGAGATACTGCTCGGAAGGCTTGGTGTTTCACCAGCTGTGTTTTTGTGGGAAGGAAGAGTCATGGCCAATAGTAGGTGAGCAAAAGGCGGGGGTGTAATGAGGCAATGCCTGAAATAGGCTGCATCACGTTCATAGAGTACTTAAATATGCAGTTTAGAAATGGATCTTGAAACTAAGAGGGAGCCAATGGAGTTGTGTGAGGGTGTGTTTATTTTATGAAAGGAGGCACCAGCATAGGCTAAACTGAGTAGGAAGCCACAGAAAGGAGTTGCAGTGAGAGGAAATTAAGGCATAGGTATGTTAGCAATGTACGTGAACAACAATTATGCGGGTTGTGGCAAGGTTTGCAGACCTATATAATGAGCAAGGCAAGTTTCAAGTATGATACCATCTTTGGGCTTGTGGCAAATGAACTAGCTGTGGCTTAAAGGGAGAAATTATGCTTGTCTTGTTCTTCCCAACAGTAGCACTTCTGAGGTTAGAGGGAAGAATCACCAACAGTGTTTATGTACACTTCAGTAGCAGGCCCTGTGAAAATTACCAGAAAAGAACTCCATACAGAAAGGATAATAGTAAAGCTGCACTTGGTCTGAGTAGACATGTTTATGGACAGACCCAGTTATGCTGGTCATCTGATCTACGGACTTACTAGTATAGGGCTCATGTATACCTAGTTTGAACAGATGCTGAGGTTTATTCCGGAGGGAGGGGTGAGGAGAGCAATATAAGCAGTGCTAACAATTAACAGACATGCACAGCGTTCAGGGATCAACTTTTTTATTTTTAAAAAATAATTTCACAAGACAAACATCTGTCATTGAGGTAAGTGGGTATTATGGCTTCAGAGAACATACTTTCAAAGTTTCATAAGCAGTTTTGTATTTACAACAAGCTTTTTGCATGACTCTAGTATTTAGATGTGGAACATGTTTTGAAGCAGTTGCAAGTGTCAAGCCTTCAATCTGCTGAAACCTTTAATTGTTCTGGAGAAGCTACTGCTACAGTAATGTTCTTTAAAAGGATTAACAGTACAGGTGAGTACTTTGGTGTTTGAAGAGTACCTATCTAGTAGTTCATGCGTCTAGCCTTTGTGATCTACAACAAATGTCTTTACAAACAGCTGGAAGCTGACATCTTGGATAATGGCAAAAGATGGGTTTTAATGTAAGTGACTTATCTACTTAAACTTCATGATTTCAGGTAAGACTGATCTGACCTCAGTTATACCCTCCCTAAAAGCTAGAGAGAGTGAGGGTTTGCAGTAGTGCGGGGGCTAGTTTACCATGCTGGACATTTCTCAAATCTTGTACAAATGTACCAGCCCTTACTACAAATTACATTTTTTTAAGCTGGTTTGTAGTATGTACTGTGAACAAGCTGACAGAACTATCTCGGGTAGGAGTATACTGAACTGTGTGAACAAAGCCCTATATAATGTATCTCCATTTTATATTTTGATAGTTACCTATTCTTACCAGCCCTTTCACAAGAAGAGGGAGGCATACATTTGCCTCTTAGAGTGAATACCCTTTTTTTTTTCTTAAAGACCGCAATCACTCTCTTTGCTTGAAGTAGAGTTTTATGGAGGTTAATCATACACACCCAGTACCTAACATCTGGACTCACAGGGAAAGGGATCAGAAATATCCAGTGGATAAGGCATGGGCATATGAAACAGACCTATGTTCTGCTACCAGCTTCAGTGCTAACTTGACTATGGGCAAGTTGTACCCTCTGTTCTGCTGTAAATAGGGATACTACATGAATAGTCTTCAAAAGCACTTTCCTAGGTATAGATGAACTATATTATGTTAAAAAAAAATTTGCATCAGATCAGTGGTCCATCTAATCCAGTACACTAAATGTCCTCTATCAGCTGCTTCAAAGGAAGAAATCCTGCACTTAACCTGTTCCCAGACAAAGTTTCCTCCTAATCCCCAATGAACAGTTTATATGATGAAGTTTGAAGATCCAAAAATCTCAGTGGGTATTATTACCTGTAGCTAATTCTTAACTCTCACCATCTTTTCACAGTAAATCTTAATCTAGTTCTGTGGTGGCTGAGGAGATTTTTGGTATCTGTTTGAAATTTCTACTTTTCACTTACATTTAATATATTTCTTGTGTAACAAGAAGGGGAATAAAAGTTTCTACTGTAGCTTCTCCCCACTTTCAACATGTTCTCTAATGTGAATAATCCCTCCCCTCTGAGTTTTTCCATGCCCCTAATTGTTGCCTGTCTTAAAATCAACTTGCTTCTCCTATATCCTTTAGGGTAAAGACAGGAAAAATTCACATAGTCCAAATGGGGTAACTTTATTTGTGACTAGTATATGGGGCATCTGTAGCTACCACAGCCATGGGTATATTTAAATGAAAGGAATAGGGCAAGATCTTATGATTGTATGATCTATTAAAAAAAAGCTTTACAAAATATCACCACCTGTATTTTAAAAAAAAACTGCCACAATTGCTTTATATACACAATATTTGCCTTTGAGGTAAGCAAAGGTTTTTTATATACTTATTGTATTTTAGGGCTCTAAACACTTTTTTGTTAACATGCTCTTGTAAACCAAGTAACACTAATAGTCTCTGGATGAGAAACAGGACTAGTTTAATACTGTTACCCAGTCATTTATAACTACCCTGCTCAAATTCATAGTAAATTCCTATACTACTACACTTTATTATAATAGAGCAAGAAAATAAGTTACCATTCTTTGCTTTATGGTCTGACTTAAGTTCCATAGTTCATGGTACTAAAGTGTTGGGTCTTAAGCATGGTCCATGTGGTTTATCAAACTTATTCCATAAGACACAAAAACTACTGTTCAGTATTTGAAGGTAAGGCACATTGGTAAAGAAATGAGACACTTAACAGCCTGACTACATATTTCAACTTACTTAAGGCTCAGACATTCTTATTTTTGGGGAATGATGACAAACCGTACCACACCCAGAAGAAAATGTATTATGTAGAACCACAAAAGTTCTGCCTTTTTAAAGTTCGAGTTGCAGCATTCTGTAACTAAGTCTATCTGAAATTTACTAAGGCCTGGTCTACACTACGACTTTAATTCGGATTTAGCTGCGTTAATCCGAATTAACCCTTCACCCGTCCACACTACAGAGCCAGTTAATTCGAATTAAAGGGCACTTAAAATCGATTTCTGTACTCCACCTCGACGAGCGGAGTAGAGCCTAAATCGATTTTGTTAATTCGAATTAGGGTTAGTGTGGCCGCACACCACCGAATTACTGTGTTTAAATTAATGGGGTAGTGTGGCCGCACACCACCGAATTAATGTGGTTAAAAACCGAATTAAGGTGCTTAGTGTGGCCGCGCACAATCGAATTTATACAACCTGTTTCCCAAATTCGAATTATCTAAATTCGGATTAATCCTGTAGTGTAGACATACCCTAAGATAGTTTGCTCTTATTGTAGGTGGGACAGATAAAACTTTGGACCATTAACCCTAAGCCAAAAGTGTTACAGGCTTGTTTCACAGAACAGCAGCAGTAAGCAAAGTTCATTCCATTCAATACATGTACCCTGAGGTTTTTCCAGTTTTTATTCCAAGGCTGTATGAAATTAATTGCCTGTTTAGCTTTTTATAGAGTAATAAATCATGTTTTCCATTATTTTGAAATGGATCTAAGTACAACATAGTGACCTTCAAGTGATGTAAAGACAAGTTTTGTTAAACCCAAGTTAGATATTAAAAGCTGGAAAAATGAATTCAACTTTTAAAATTTAGAGCAAACAACTAGAGAGGCTAGAACACTAACACCTTCCAGCCTGGGTAGGAGAATGAACATCCAAAATATAAAGAACCACATGAGTGATCAAGTACCCAATCAAAAACTACTTCCCTGTTGTTAGAACTGATGGTTACTCTGAGTTTGGTGTTTCCTCCCTCGTTGTTATTGGGACCTAAATGCACAACTTCCATGTCAAATGTCACAGTTGATCCACAAGTAACAGCAGGCAATTGGTTTGTCATCTCCTTGCCATTTACAAATACTGCCCCTGAAACAGTCAAGATATTTAAACATTTTTTTACAGTGCATAATGGTTAGGGGCAGAAGTTGGCTGCACCACTGATGCCGCCCCAGCACACCCCCCCCCCCCCCCCCCCCCCCCCCCGAATGCATATCATCATGTGATTTGCTTACTACTCAAACCCAACGAAAACTGACATGTAAAATCATAATGGAATTTTGTAACAGCTATACTAATTCTGTGCCAGTCTTAGCTCTTCCCAAAAACAGAATAGGTGGTATTGACAAAAGATTTTAACCAGTTCCTGTGACACTTTGTACTGGCATAATAAGCAAATATACCAGCTGAAACACAAGTGCATTAGAGCTCCACTATTACATTCCTTATACACATCAGGAAACAATCAACTTAAAAATGTTTTCACTTGCCCTCCTATCCCAAACTATTCACTGTTCAGTCAATTAACCATTGACTTTTCAGCTATAAAATAGAAACTAGGGTTCACAATAGCTCTTAAATATTCTATTTAAGTTAAATACAGAGAGATTGACAAGCATTAAACATAGACAAGGATTAATGATCAAAGATAGGACAATATACTATGTTGATCTATTAAAAATTAAGGCTATGGCAAACTAATTGTTGGGTCAAGAAACAAAGGATCGCCAATAAAGCATAGATCAAATAAATGATTTTAAAATAACATGTTATCCCTCTTCCTATCTCCAGTGCATTTGCTTATCATGGACTGACTGCACTATCAAGGTAGGAAAGTTGTCCATACCACTAATTCTTTCCTTGTAAGTGCCTGAGGGCAGGGACACTCTTTTTAGATGTTTGAGTGGTGTTTGGCAAAGTTTTGGGTAATTGATTAATAAAATGGAAGCTTACCAGTTGTACTGTTCTCTTTTATCAATGTAACCTTAAGTAAAAATCAGTTGTACTTTTCTTTTTTAAGAAAGTAAGAATGACCGTACTATTTCAGACCAAGTCTATACCTCCAGACCAGTATCTTGTCTTGAGAGTGGCCAGTGCCAGATGCATCAGAGGGAATGAAAAGAACAAGGCTATTTATTGAGTGATCCATCCATATCAACTGTGAGCCAGTCCCAGCAGTCAGCGGTTTAGGGACACCCAGAACATGGGGTTGCATTCTTAGCCAATAGCCATTGATGGATCTATCCTCCATGAATTTATCTAATACACGAGACACAGGGCAGGCTTCAATAGTAGCAGTCAGTAAGAGGAAAGCCCAGCTCCAAGCAGGTTTTCCTAAATGGAGACTAGTCTCAGGAATTGAGTTGATTTTTTTTGAAGTCTTAGAACAACACATGCAAATTACTATAGCATACACAGTGTTAAGCAAACTTGTCAATGTTAAAGATGCAGTACACTTCCATGTGGTTCACTTCAAATAACAGAATTCGACTGCTCAGGTTGCTGAAAGCTGTAACAACACTTCAGCAAAAGATCCAGCCGTTAGAGATAAATATGTTGGAAAGCACAGAATAGACATGAGACATAGCCAAGATCTTCATAAACAAGTAGATTATATTCAATAGTGCAATATTAATGAGCTCACCATTTGTACTAATGCATACTGCTTTATCTCGCTGTAAAGAATCATAGCCGTTCTGCTGTTCCACACAGACTCCTATACTGTCTCGTTTGTCTGGCTGACCAACTGTTTCAATTCTATGAAGAAGAAAGTTTTGTTAAATTCTGAAGTTTTAAATTAACAAAAAACAGTAAAAACTGCAGCAAGGTTCATACCAAATCAGCACTACCTTATCATAAAGGACCTCTTTACAATGGCCCCAAGGTGTCCACCACAATTTCACGCAAACTTTGAGACCACCTCTGCTGAGTAATTGATCATGTAGGTCCTTAAGACCAGCTTCACCATATACTTCTCTTCAGCTTGTAGCAGATGCTCAGCTGGCATAGAGATTACAGCTGTATCTTTTCTCACAATCTTAAAATTTTCTTTTTTTTGGTTTGTTCTGTTAAATGTTCCCCTAGTGATGTAGGCTGTGGCCTGCCACTTTCAACAGTTGTGGCACATGGCCTTAGGCTGGCTGTCCCATCTATTAGTATTTGTACCAATCCAGGCAGAATCACAAATTTAGTCATTGTCTACCAAACTGTCAACATCACATTTTTAAGGCAAAGTGCTCCACTTCTGGCAGGTACAGAAGGCCCTATGTGCAGCAAAAGCTCCTTAAAAGGGACTCAGAACATAACCCTGATTTAAGTTACTAATAGAGGGGTTGAAAGTGGGTTTAATATAGATGATATCCATGACAAAAGGAGGATGAATCATGCAGAAGAACAAGGTGCAATCTCTATCAGATTAACACTATACACTCTTAAGGAGTTGCCATTCATCTATTTGAAAGGAAAAGTAGGATCAGTGGTGCTAGTCAACTGTAAAAGGGTAAGTCATTGCAGAGAGGCTAGAATGGAAATTTATTAATGTGAATAGAATCGTACCTGATATTTGCAAATGTCAATTGTTAGGGTATTGACAATAAACCCATGATCTGGGCAACTAAGTGCCCAGAGGCAGCCTGCTGCCAATACAGAATTTCTGAGCTTGGTGTACTTCTGCCATATGCATAGTTACCCTTTTTTGTTCTAATCTTTAACTTCTAATAAAGTGACTGTCACTAAGAGACTGACCAGCCATATAGCCCTATTAATATGAAGCCCTGTGTTGGGTCATGGATTAATCCCTCAGGGTGAGAACGTACTGACAGTTGCAGGCTGTTTCTCTAGCTTTTATTATAAAGAGTAGCAGGTTCCCTTAACAATTATGGGACCCTAACTTATCCTGCTAACTTTCTTTGGCTAGAGAGAGCATGCCTTTGGTGGGGAAGGTGGGGACAGAATCTTAAAACAAGTAATTTGCAAGCCTGGCTTCTGCCAAGATGAATTTATAATTTTGATAAAGAACTGATAGACTTTTCCAACGATCAACCAAACAGACGTGTGTGTATGGACAAACCATTGAAAACGAATGCCCACGTCCCAGCCAAAGGCCAATAATCAGGCCTATAAAGGAGAGGGAGGCCATATAAGCTTTATGTTTAAAGATACTTCTATAAATGGATCTGTTTTCTTCTGTCCCGTGAATCATACATTTACCTCTGTTACTCTTTGTTGTTCCTTAAAGATGCTGGGTAAAGTTTTCAGAAAAGCCCAAGTGATTTCAAATACTACATTATGTTGACTTTCAAAGCAACAGACTACTAAGTGGCAAAGTCACTCCTAAATCCCTTGAGTGCTCTTGAAAACATAACCTGCCCTGTTTTGGGGGGGATTGGTTTTCACTGGAGCGGATACAACTAATACTTTATGGCATCAAGGCAGCAGAGGTATTCATTGCTTATTTTCCTTCAGTCTTCATTAAAACATTTAATGATGACCAGATACTTAACACAATTAATATTATCAAGGGGGAAGAAATACAAGCCAAAATAGGGAAAGAATAGGTTAAAGAATATTTAGAGACATTAGATGTATTAAAGTTGTCAGGGCCTGATGAAATTCATCCTAGCATACTTAAGGAACTAGCAGCAATCATCTTTGAGAATTCATGGCAGGGGGTGAGGTCTCAGAGGACTAAAGAAGGGAAAACATAGTAGCTATCTTTAAAAAGGGAAACAAAGAAGACCCAGAGAATTATAGACCAGTCAGCCTGGAAAGATGCTGCACCAAATTATTAAACAATCTATTTGTAAGCACCAGCAGGATAATAAGGTTATAAGAAATAGCTAGCATGGATTCCCTTCTTTGACGGGTTAATTTCCTAGAGGATGGTGGAGAAGAAGCAGATGTGATATATCTTGATTTTAGTAAGGCTTTTATCACAGTCCCACTTGACATTCTTGACTCGACAAAAATGTAGTATAGATGAAATTACTATACGGTTGATGCACAAAGTAGTTATCAATGGTTCACTGTCAAACGTGAAGGATGTATGGTGTAGACAGGGGTCAAGTACTATCCAGTATTTTCATGAATGACTTGGATAATGGAATGGAGAATATGCGTATAAAATCTGCAGCTGACACTAATCTGGGAGGGGATGCAATTAGAATTAGAAGGATTAGAATTCAAAGGAACCTAGACCAATTGGAGAATTGATCTGAATTCAACAAGATGAAACACCAGACCAAAGTACTACACTTAAGAAAAATCAAATGCACAACTACAAAATGAAGACTATCTGGCTATGCCAGGTGTTTTCAATCTTTTTTCCATTTGCAGACCACTAAAAAAATGCTGTATGGAGGTGTGGACCCCTTTGGAAATCTTAGGCATAGTTTGTGGACCCCCAGGTGTTCACAGGCCACAGGTTGAAAGCCACTGAGCTATGCAGCTGTACTGCTGCAAAGGGTCTAGGGGCTACAGTGGATCACAAAAAAAAAAAAAGGGCTAATATTCTGGGTTAATGGAGTGTAATGTAGTAAATATCCTGCTCTATCTACTTGGCACTAGTGAGGCCTCAGCTGGAGTACTGTGTCCAGTTCTGGACACCACACTTTAAGATGTGAACATACTAGAGGGAGGCCAGAGAAGAGCAATAACAGTGATAAAAGGTTTAGAAAACCTGATCTATGAGGAAAGGGAAAAAACACTCGGCATGTTCAGTCTCGGAAAAAAAAAAAAAAAAGACTGACAGAGGGCAGGGGGGAACTGATAAGTCTTCAAACATGTTACAGGCTGTGCTGTGCTGTCCATGTCCACTGAAGGTAGGACAAGAAGTAATGGGATTAGTCTGCAGTAAGGGAGATTTAGGTTAAATATTAGGAAAAACTTTTTAACTGTAAGGGTAGCTAAGCACTGGAATAGGCTTTGAAGAGAGGTCATGGAATCCCCATCACTGGTGGTCTTTAAGAACAGGTTGGACAAACATCTGTCAGGGATGGTCTAGATATACTTGATCTTGCCTCAGCGTAAGAAGCTCATCTTGATAACCTGTTGAGATCCTACATTTCTATGATTTGTCAAACTTCACAAAGATGCAACAGCAGCTTCCAGTTCTTGAAGAACTGGAAATTAATAAAGCCCTTTTTAATTATATTTTATGATTTGAGAGTGGTCTGGCAAATTATTAGTGAGTTCCTTAAAGATGTACAGGAGAAATCCAAACTGGAACCATGTTGTACTCTCATTCTATCAGATTTTTCAGTTCTCTGGAAATCATCACTGAGAAAGCTGAAAGCTATGTTATAAAGCAAAGAAAACAAACAAAAATCTAAGTATCTTGAAGTTTTGCATTTTGAATTGATCCACAATGAAAACTGTTTGTACAAAAGAACCTGAGATAAGGTTGTGTTCATTAGGTCTAGTCATTACTGCAGTTTTATAAATATTAACTTAGAAATGTTCAGATATCGTTAATGTCTTTGTACATTAGAGAACACCAATTCTATGCCTCTCCAGTTAATGCAGCATCTCTTTGATTTTTTTGTCTGGAAATATGTATGTTTGCATAACACAAAGCTGACCAAGTGCACTAGCTTATCTGTACATTTAAAACCCATTTTCAAGTAAGTGATCCATGGCTTTGATCTATCACTTCATGCACATTGGCGTATAGGACTGAGCAGATCAAAGAAACAAGCTAGACTAGTAGTAGAGGGAAGACCGAGCGATTACACAATCAGCAGGACAGAACCACTGGACTCAAGGGCAACAGTGTGGAAGTCCTTACAAACATAATATGCCAACACACGCACTATAAAGACCCTGGGCAGGGTGGCAGGCTGGGCACCCCAGTAAGGGGGTAAGCGTAAATTGTTAACAGGCCTATGGGTTTGGTGCAGGACACCATTTCTTAGCTTAATATTTTTGTCAATTCCAGCAGCAAACCATCCCAGGAAGCACAGCCCTAGACAGGAGTCGTCGTATATAAGGGAACTTTTAGAAAGACTTCGCTATGAATGTCTCAGTGGTGTTCAGGGATAAACTGCTATTCATTTTACTAATGAAAACCATTTGATCTAGAATCCATGTTTAGGATGACTATTTTTCTCTGCAGTTTTGGAGGAGTTGTGACCTGGAGTTGTTGAGTGTATCTAGAACATGCAGTAGAAATACTATTTAACAGACCATGTTTTAAATCCTATATCATCACTTTGTTGGAAGGCAGCATGCAGCCCACAAGATGTCGTCTCCTTGTAACTGCAGGGAGTAGACAGATATACAAGATCAACCATAGGTTTTTATGGTTAGTGAAATTGAACACCCCACAGTTTCCATTAATCTCAAAACAGAGAGATGCACAAGCCACCATCCATCATATGCACTAATTTATGAATTAGCTATATGTAGATTAGGCTAAGCCTGCCAGAGTCACCGGGGCACACTATTTCTCCCCTCTCAGACTGCCTCATTTACCCGGCTGTATCATCTTGAATTGCTAGCGCAGCTGGACTAATCTTGTCTTCCTACTGCAAGGATAAGCATTACAAACAACTGCAGTCTGAAGAGCAGGGGGTGGTCACCCTGGAGAATCTCTCACCATCCCTTCCAAGCACAGCTCCATGGGGGCAGCAGAGAACTGGGAATAATGTTGGCCCAGGCCAATTACATCATACCCCCAATTATAGCCTCATCTAAATGTCTTGGTTGGTGACACTCCGATTAAAGAGATCTAGTTATGAGAAGGGGACATACGAAATGCTGGTTTTATTACAGCTTTGCTACTCACTGGAGAGGCTATTATGCTTCCTGAATATATGACAAGAAGATTATCTGTAACATGAGTCTTGGCCGTTTCTATCCAGGAGGCTGGTTATCCCTTTGTGAATGTACTGTTGAAACAGATGGATAAAGCCAAATGCTAAGTATTGCATCTAGTGAACTAGCAGAATCTAATATATGCTTTGAAATGGAAAGCTCTTGTGGGGATTGGGGAAAGTAACACAATCTATTTTCTAACTTTTGAGATTCTCTTTAAAAAAAACACATGTTCCATCACATCTTTTGAAGACACATGTGGGCTAGTGCTCTGTGATACAGAAACATGATCTTTCCTCAGAGAGAACGAGCAAAATCCACACTACAAAAAAAACTGCACATCAAAAGGATTTTCATCTCTGTTACCAATATGAAAAGGTAAGAGAGACACTGGTGTGAAACAGAACCAGGGAAAGCCTCAAAGCTCTGCATTTAATAGCACAGATGCTTCTGTGCCAGGCAATATTAAGCCTATTGTTTTATTTGAGATGGAAGCTGTGGAGCTCTTTGCATCCATGGCAGACAGAGGACAGTTGAATATGCCCGCGCCCTATGACCATCCAAAGCCAACAGAATCTAAGTTTCAGGGTTAGGGTTAATGTAACATCATCTAAAAGCTACATGGATAAACACCATAATCACACCCCCTAAACTACCAGTGGAGTTTGCAGCAGGATTGTCAAGCCTATTACACAAAAACTGTCAGTCTGTGTGCCTCTGTAATAAGAGAAAGGTGGGGAAAAACTATAGCTAAGTCTCTTAGATCTACAATCACAACTGACACCGCCTGGCAGACGAGACATCTCCACAGGGACTCTCCTCTTCCCCAGCCAAACAGCATCATCTCAAGGGAAGGGCTCAATGCAGAAAAGCTGCCAAGGTTTCTAATCTCACTGTTGTGCCATATTAAATTCTTAACCCTGAAAGTAAATTCCCCATGCTATCTTTTCCCCTCAGGAGTTTCTACAGATGGCGACCAACAGTCATCTGACCAGAGCTATAATTATGCTGGAGGTGGTATCTTTTTGAGAACTTACTCCACTGCCAATCAGCCATTCTTACACTGTCACATGAAAACAACGCTCCAACAGTCCTAGAAGAATTAGGAGGGTTGGGAAGGAAAGAGGTCACTGTTTAGGGGACCTAATCCAAAGCCCACTGGAGTCAATGGAAGAATACCAATGGGCTTTAGATCAGGTCATAGCAGTTGCTGAGAAGCACCAAAAAAGCTCTAAACACCCCACAGATCCACTCAGTCTAGGCTAATTTGGGGACCTCATTGAGGAAGGAATAGAGCACTTCAGCTCCTGTTCTAGGTTAGGATGGATCCTACAAGAGGGTCTTGGACTTTGTCCTGAAGAACTAGGAGGTGGAAGCAAAGAGAGGAAGGTTCAGACTTCACACACAAATGGGACTGTGTATTATGTACACACCACTCAGTCAGTGATTTGGGAGTTTACAATTTAAAGGCATAGTGAGGCTTGAGTTCTCTGTACAACACAGCGGTAGCAAAATGAGACAAAACAGGAAATTCCGTTTGCGTAAGTGCCTCATGCAATGGCAATAGAGCATGTACTTGCCTGAACGTTAATGTCTGCCCACAGAAGTAAGTAGGAGCTTTGGAGTAGAGCACACCACATGACTGAGAATCATTTCGAAGTGCTATGTTTTTTCGACTGCTCAGGCTGTAACCCTCCAAACCTGCTGTCCATTCTTCAAACAAAAACAAAAACAAAAACATGAATTACTTCACTGGCTATCATGTGGGGAAGGAGCTTCAGTTGGCTGCATCCAGTCTTTTTACTTCATCTGCAAGTTAGAGTCAGGTTACCATAGCTCTGGGTCTAACCTCTCATTGATGTGCAAAAGGAGTGAGAGAGAAATGAGGCATTTTTTGCAATATCGTGATTGTTGCAAAAAAGATTAACCTGCATTTGACTCTCGGCTATGATTACTTACAAAGAAGTGACAAAAATGTATATTACACAGTTTCCTTATAAAATTAATTGGGACTAAAGATAACCTGGCGTTTCTCTCATTTTCAGCCAGTTTAAGAACTAGCCTTATAGACATTTACAAAGTTATTAGATGTAGATTTTCTATAATAATGAGGAAAAAATAGGAAAGATCTTCAGTTTTGTAATTCAGTGAATCTTGATAACCCCTCAGCTACCTGTCTAAATAACATCACGATGAGATAGGCTTCCATTGAGAAATGAGTTCCTAACTTTCCACCTTCAAGGAAAGCAAAACCCCAGGCTATTACAGAAACCAGAAATCCTTGAGGAAAGCCAGAACAAGAGTTAACGCTCCATTTCTCATTACAACCAATACAAAAGGGAAGTAGGTAGAAACCCGCTGCAAACAGGCTCTGACACAACAGGCAATGACAGATGTGAATTTAAAATTCTTCATGAAACATAGAACAGAATCTCACATTGGCATTTTCCAAGTGCAGGCGCTGCTCCAGCCCAAGCATCAGGTTGATAGCTACCATGTGTGCTACAGAACTAATTGCAGTTAAAATTAAGCAAAGAATCCAACTGTAGAAGGGTATGTATCTAATTACCTTGTATTATCTAGATACACATTTAATTCCATATATTGCAAGGCAGCAAATTCCATTGTCTTCAGACAGCAAACAGCTCCACAAAATCTACAGCACATTATGGGTTTTTCACACACACTATAAGCTTCAGAAGACTAACAACAAAAGTTTATACCATGAGGAACTAATGTAGAACGGCCAGTTTGAGGAATACTCCATGGACTCCATTCCTGCCGTCCGTCACCCCGGGCACAGACTCTGAACTGGTAATCAACATTGGGGTCGATATGTAGTACTATGAATTCCATCTCTGAGCCAACATACACATCTTCAAAGTGATTGGCAGTACTCTTGCGATACTGAAGCCTGTAGTCTTGTGGTATAAAGTCATCATCCACCTAAACAGACATTTATTCCATTAACAAGGGATCATGACCATTTCTTCCCTGGATTTCTTTGAACTACAATGTATCCCAGTAGCAGTGCAAGTTAGCAACATTTGTCCTTCGCAAGGTAAGGTGACCAAAGGTTGGCCTTTGTTAAAACAACATCCGAAACACAACATTCTTTCATACTTCTGGGGAGGAATGGCAAGGAAGATAGAGCCATCCAGGAGCAACTTAAATATGTATGGTCCTAGCAACCATACCTTTGATTTAGTGAATAAAAAAGGAATGCCTTCTGAATACTGAAGAAAGCAATTAGCCAAGCGTCTGATACAAAATCTGAGGTTCTTTACTCATCCACTGTACCTACCAGAGTACCAAATATTTAAGGGTGCAGAAGTTTAATGTTTATCCGTATGAGTGAAATCCTGCCCCACTGAAATCAATGGGAGTTTTCCATTGTTTGTACAGCACCTCGCACAATGGGGCCCTACCTGCAATTACCTACTGTAATACATATCACCACCAACTATGGATTCTACAAGACGTTTATTTCTAGGTCAATCTGTGCTGCTGACAAATACATGACACTAAGACCTATTTCGGCAATTGCTATTTAGACGATAGTGTCACAGAATTAATATTTCTGTAGCACTCATCTGTTTAGTGGGAAGTGTTATAGGCTGGTTTGTGTGTTTTGGGAGAGGGGAGGGCTGGGGGAGGTAATCTCCTGCCTCTTCCATTTCCAACAGTTTGGCCCCAGAAAAGAGGAAGAGTGGGCAGTTTTTTCAGCCAGCTCTGCTGGCTTTTCCACACAACAGATTGTATACAGACCTGTTGCACTAATTGGCAGATACTGGGAGACAGTAGGTACTATCAAGCAGCACACAGGTAGCCCAGTGCCAGACTGAGCGGTCTAAGGGCTGGAGTCTCATGTGAAAGTCTTCCTCCACACACACTTGTGCCTCAAAATCTACCATTATGTGCACCTGGATCGAACCATAACATACAATTTCTTCCAGTGTATTTTAAATCCCAAGTCAAAAGGAGATGATTCCCTTGATGGAGGAAGAAATGCAGCGTGAAAGTGACAGTTTGAGAAAGAATACCTTCTTTTTTCTGAAACAGGGTCTAAAAGAGAATCTGAGTTACATTCATTCAAGAGATTTTACTCACCTTACACCACCGGACTAGGATACCGCCAGGCTTCTCAGTAAGTTCTTCTACCTGTACAGGCGGCCGAGATGCTACAGTCCCATGGTTGAAGATTTGATTTTTCACTATAGTAAGAAGACAGTCATCCAGCTGGGCAGATAAACAAGGCACATCAACCAAGGCGGGCACTTCTGGCAAGCTAAGGAAAGAAAAATTGCTGACATGTAAGGGAGCAGCTTGTATACAATTCTATTTCAGCCATACTCTTAAAAGACAACACATGTGGCGTTGATTATTTTTTTAACTCTATACTTCAAGGGACTGGTTTTAAAAATTAGAACATTAAAGGAATTCCAGATTTCAGACTTAAAAGACTGAGGAAGTAGCTAATATTTTAGGCCTAATGATGTCATCTGTGTCTCAGTAATCTCTTCTCTTTCATTGGGATTGATGAAAACTATTGCAAACAGACAATCCATATTTCAAGAGAGACCATCTGAGGACTGAACACTACTTGAATTATCAAGGCCAACCCCTTCCAGAAGCTATATGTAAGTGGGACAGCAAAGCCTGAAATAAACCTTTGAAATAAAAGTCCCTAATGTCCATTGCCTTAAAAGGGAACAAACAAACAAAAAACCCTATGTAGAGGCATGTTAATCATGATCCTTGCTGCATTCTCAAATCCCCCCACCATACTGATGTCTCTTACCTATCCAGCTGAATGTGCAAAGCCTTTTTTGTAAAGTTGCACAGTTTTTCATTCTGCTCTCCGATGACCTCGTGGATGACACTCTCTCCTGGAATGAAAGAGTAAAAAAAAAAAATGTTCCTAGTATGAAAAATGTCCAAGAAAAACATTCTTCACATCAAAGAATAACCAGTGCTGAAGTGAACAAACAGTTAAAAAAATTTTTTCAGTGTTTTCAATGCTCCTACAAGACACTTTAATAGAATTTCAACACTTGGATGTTCTTGCTGTTAATAATATATGCCTATATAGCATCCTTTGATGACAATCTTAAAGAGCTTTGTAGGAACTTCTATGAGAGAGTTAGGTGATTTGACCGAGGTCCCAGACAGTAACTGAGCTGGGACCAGATGCAAGAAATCAGGGCTCCTTATCCTCTGGCTCCATCACTTGACAGCCCAACTACTTTAAGAGGGAAACATCATCACAGAAAATGCAGAGCATCTTTACTGATTAGAACCTGAAAAAGCTAAAACTGGCAAAGAAATTATAACAGTTTCAACAGTGTGCAGAATCAGGCGCTTTATTTTTTGCAAATGTAACATTCTATGATAGTCTGTGCAGTTCAAGGTAGGGATAGATAAATAGAAAGCTCTTCAAACACATCAGCTCTGATACCCTACATTTACGTGGAAACCCCTGAAGTTACAGGAAGATCTACAGTGACTTCTGCTTAAATCCAGCTTGGACTCTTCCCAAGTTTATCATCTGATGAGTGTACAGTGATCTGTGGGAGCTATGTGAGCTCAGTCCAGTTCCAAGTGGACAGTTGCCAACATTTAGAAAAAAGAAAAACGCACACTATATTTGGCAGCAAAAGATTGAATGTGCATGAAGACTGAACCCCTTCTTGCTCAGAGGTGGCCCCTCTAGAATAGAGTGACTGTATAGCAAAACTTTTACTGCCACTGTCCACATAGGCAGCTGTGGCCCAGTGGATTAGAAGTAGACTAGTAGCCACGGATCTGGGAGCTTATCAGTCAGACTTATACAAGTTATGTCACCTCCTGTGGTCAAATGGATTTGGTGTTAATACCAGTTTCACAGGAGTAGGCGAAACTATTTGGAAAGGGACAAATTGTTTTGGTGGATACAGGACTTCACTCAGACAGCCAAGCCAGCAACTTCCTTAAGCACAAAACTCACATCCAAGTACAAGTAGCAGACTGTATGACGCGTTGCAGTTCACAAACCAGAGAGCACCGTGGAAGAAAGTTAAAGCTGAGACAGACAAGAACAATGCAAGGAAACAACCAGCCCAGTCATGGCTGAAACAGGCCACAGAATAGGTTCTCCAGTGCAGGGACACAGTCAATAGCGACATTCCTTTGTGACTAGCTATTTGGTAATGATATGGAATAGTTCGCCCTTAATGGTACACTTCGACACTTCTATTGTTTTCTGTCCCAACTGCAAATCTCCTGGAGAAAAGCAGGACTTTCCTTGCAGATATAAATGGGATGCGAGGGAGGGAAAGGTCAGTGACAAGCAGTACAGTATAATCCTTGAACTTTTGTACACTATGTTTTTACTCCACAGACTCAAAATAACTTCCCTCCAGTCCCAAATGCTGGAACAAACATTCACTCTATTTTGGCAGAAACTCATTTTCCAATATAAAATAAACTCAAATCCAAAAATATTTTCTCCTACAGCAAAAGCAATTAGACCACATAGGGTGAAATTTACCCCCTGTGCAAAGGACTAGCACAGGGATCGGCAACCTTTGGCACACGGCCCGCCAGGGTAAGCACCCTGGCGGGCTGGGCCGGTTTGTTTACCTACCACGTCCACAGGTTCGGCCGATCGCGGTTCCCACTGGCCACGGTTTGCTGCTCCAGGCCAATGGGGGTGGCGGGAAGCGGCGCAGGCAGAGGGATGTGCTGGCCGCCGCTTCCCACGGCCAGTGGGAGCCGCGATCGGCTGAACCTGCGGAGGTGGCAGGTAAACAAACCAGCCCGACCTGCCAGGGTGCTTACGCTGGCGGGCCGCATGCCAAAGGTTGCCAACCCCTGGACTAGCATAAGACCTATGCACCACTGAAGTTCCACTTAGGTTTAAAATAAACTGCCAGCTTAACAGTACCAAAAACAACACAGATGTTTTGTTATTTATGAGGGCATCTGAGATACATTTTATTTTAAGAGGCCAAACATAATTCATTGCTTCTACTTTGGTGGCCTGGAAGTTAACTTTATGGGAATATATACCTCTGAAAGTAGGTACTCTCCCCCTGTATCATTCCATACTTCAGCCCATTTATATTTATACTTATATTTATACTATAATCCTAGGGTTATATACCAAAATGCTAAAATATGGATCCTCATAAGCAAGCATTGATATGTTTCCCCCCACCCCACCCCGGATTCTGCAGAGATCTTTAAACCTTTACTAGTGTTGGTTTAGGATAGGCCCATTTCAGCCAAAACATGCTGTTCGTAACATGCACTACGATCTACACCAGAGGTGGGCAAACTTTTTGGCCTGAGGGCCACATTGGGGTATGGAAATTGTATGGTGAGCCATGAATGCTCACGAAATTGGGAGTAGGGGTGCAGGAGGCTCTGGGCTGGGACCAATAGGTTTGGAGGGCAGGAGAGTGATCAGGGATGGGGGAGGGCTCTGGCTGGGGGTGTGGGCTCTGGGGTGGGGCTGAGGATGAGGAGTTTGGGGTACAAGAGGGGGCTCCGGGCTGGGATCGAGGGGTTTGGAGGATAGGATCAGGGCTGTGGCAAGGGATTCGGGCACAGGGAGGGGTTATGGGGTGCATGCTCTGGGCGGCACTTACAGCAAGCAGCTCCTGGAAGCATGTCCCCCCTCCGCTCCTAAGCAGAGGCGTGGCCAGGCGGCTTTGCACACTGCACCATCCACAGGCGCCATCTCTGCAGCTCCCATTGGCCGTGAACTGTGGCCAATGGGAGCTGCGGGAGCGGCACCTCCGGACAGGGTATCGCGGAGAGCCACCTGGCCACACCTCCGCGTACTATGTAGGAGCCGGAGGGGGGTCATGTCGGCTGCTTCCTGGGAGTCACGCGGAGCGGGGCAAACCCCCAACCCTGCTCCCCGGCGGGAGCTGAGGGCTGGATTAAAAGGTCTGATGGGCCGGATGTGGCCTGCAGCCATAGTTTGCTCGCCACTGATCCACACTAATCTTTAAGAGAAGACTTATAGGAATGTATATTTTAAACAGCCCCCTACCTTCCTGGAGCAGGTCATCAGCTGTACTGACTCCATGTTCTATTAGTTTCTGGCATTCATCCAATGGCTTGATGCTCTCTTGTTCTATGGCATCCACTTCCTGCAGCAATAACACTAGTCGCTCATCCAGCAGCTTCCTCAGGGTCCCTTTTAAATCATTAAAATGCTGCTCAAGTACATCCCTTGTCAGAGCTGCACTCTCTCTGATCTGACTCAAGACAACAGAAAAGAGAAGGATTCAGGGTGAGCAGCTGAAAAGAAATATTCCTTTATCATTGCGAATCACATTGCCTGCATTTGCTGGTGGAAAGCTCTATGCTAGGTGAACTTTTACAAAGGCTCTCAGACAATTAACAAACCTACTAGGATACTCTCATTGTAGGATACTCATTTGATTAAGGGTACCAAGCAGGGGAGAGAAAAGGTAGTGAGGCTACCCAAGCAGAAAGACAAGCAATGAAAGCAAAGCAAAACTTGTAATCTTTTAGAGAAGGATTATAAATAATGAGGAAAGCCACATGAAACTGGAAGAGAGGCGACTATCCTTTAGGACAATTATCTCCCCCATAAACAAACTAAAGACACGCTTAAGAGTGATGAGCCTACCATAATAGGGTCACAAATCATGTGGACAACAGGATGCCTTTGGCCAACTAGGAGGTAGGCTACGTATGCCATGGCCAAAATAGCCCAATGCAAATGAGACCTATTAAAAATGTAACCAATTCAAATCAAGCCAGAACACATTAAGTAAATCAATTTATTCTGGGACTATTAGACGATAAAAGTGTGGCCCGCATTACTGTAGTATTTGAGCACTCTATCTTGAGGTATTTATTCTCACAACACCCTTGTGAGGTAAGGCAGTACTATTATCCCCATTGTACAGATGAGGAACTGAGGCACGAAAAGGGTAAGTGACTTGCCTGACATAACAGAGGAAGTTTGTAGTAGAGCAGGGACTTGAACTCACATCTCACAAGTCCTTGGCTAGTGCCTTAACCACTGGACAACCCTTCTTCTACTTTACTCAACAGATTTCCTTTCCAGTATCTATAAACTATTTAAGTCTCCTGAGGAAAGTAAATATATTAGCAGCTTATTTGTTCTCAAGTCAGGGAAATTTCTCCTCTCAGCAGAATTTGTGTTCATCCGCAATAAGAGCATCCATAGACACTACTGGAACCTACAGGCTGCTCCTTAGAGCTGCAAGTCTTGAGCAGGTGCATTAAAAAGGGAGAGCAGCTCAGCTACACAAAAAGTTTTAGAACAGAGTTACAACCAATGATATTAAGGCTCTGTATTGAAAGCTAGATAGAGAGAGTGTCTTAGGCAACTGCACAGGACCTGTCATGGCGTTAACACATTAAGCAGCAGCGTAGTATTTCCCATCCATCCAGAGCACTAAGACAATGAAATATCCACTCCTTGTGCAGCCAGTCCTTCCCACACAATGGACTCACATTAGTAATGAGAATGGCACTGCAGCACACAGCATTAGAACAGAGATATAACTGTGTGTATTTTAACATGTCAAAGATCTTCGTTGTTGGCTCACCACATTGTACTTGAATATTTCAGCATGCAGAGGCCTTATCCAAAGCCCATTGCAGTTAGTAGAAAGACTTCACTGACTTCATTGAGCTTTGGACTAGGCCTATCACAAATATGACCAGCCAGTATTTGGAGAAAATTGAGCTCCACAGAGTGGAAAGAGAATGGTTTCAATGTTTACTCGGTCTGTCCATCTGTGTGTTTGAGTCACTAATTTATCTTTAACAGGCAATTTCTAAGTTACAAGAAGACTATCACATAGTCTCAAATCAGATCAGACAAATATCCTGTCATGGCCGGTGCTCCAGAAGAGTAAGAAACCCTGTATTCAGTAGTTATGAAATATGCTGTCCCCAGTGAAAAATCTCTTCTTTCCTCCTATATTTAGAGGCTTAACCCCAGAAGTGTGAGGGTTTGAATCCCTTCCAAAACTTTCTTTTTTTTTTATTTACTATTACAACTCTGAATAGTCTTGTTATCCATATAAGTGACCGATCATTTGTTTGAATCTTACTACATTTTTTGCCTCAACCTTGGTGCAAGGAGTTCCATGGGCCAACTGCACATTTGTGTGAAGGGGACTTTTGTTTTATTTTTAAATCAGCTGGAAATGGATCACCTTTGAGTTCCATTTAATGTTTCCCTTGTTCTTTTGTTAGGAGTCAGGGTGAATAGTGAATATGCCACCATATCCATTTTGATTCTATAGATATTGTAAGAATCTTTATTACAAAAAAGTTGTTGTTACAAAAAGTTTACTACAAAGTCGATTAAGAACCCACTGCATATGATTTTTTTTAGGAAGGAAACATTTGAATTCGTGAAAAATTAATCACAAGCTAAAAGTCAGAATTAAACACACCACTATGAAGTGCTTTTATGATTTACACACATAAGGAAATGCTGCAATATAAGCCAAGCCCTAGATATAATTTCTAGATCTTTAGAAGTACTGACAACCAACACAGGAAGCTCTTGGGTTAGGTAAAGTAAATTTCCTCTTCAAGCAATCTTCATGAGCCTCTGCGGCTGCCACACAGCTTGGCTTCCCCTCACTTGTTATTTTACTATTTCAGAAAAAAAGGAAGTGTTTGGCAGTGTATATTCGAGGCCGGGGTGGAGGACGACAGAAGAGAATGGTTGTTCCCCCAAACCCATTACCGTTTTAGATGCATATACAAACTCAATCAGTATCAGAATCTCAATGCTAGAGCTAGGGACGTGCAAACAGAAGAGAGGACGAAAATACTGGAAAGTAAAAACACACACAGAGGCTCGGAAATGGATTTGAATACTGTAGTAAAATGGTCCTAAAATGGAGGTTGATGCTGCAATGCTAAGTGGTCCTGCTAGCTGTAGCCCAGTCTAGGAGTCTTGAGATTTCCAAAGGCTCTTATGTGCATCCTGCATAGTTGATTCATATCCTCCTTTGTCAGATATCTCGTTAGTGTAAACTCAATTGTGGCCAACTCAGCAGATGACCGAGCCCACAGTTGGAAAGTGAATCCAGGGGAACAGAAACAAATGCATACAAGCACAGAACCATACAGCAAAGAGATCAACTGAAGTCGCAGGAACAAGGAAAGATTCAGAACTAATGAATGCAAAGTTCTGTATCCAGGGAGAGGAAACAAACAGCACAAATAAAGGTGAAGGTAACTAAGCAGTCACACCCACCAAAGTAACAGAGCAGTTATACTCACCATGCTAATGCAAGTTGACTGTCATTTGTCCCGTTATATTTTATGTTAATAAGCAGCACTACCACTGCAGCGGGGATAGCAAAGTTTGGATGAGAGCAGCAGTCCCCAAACTTTTCAGGGTCACACCTCCTTTACCCCGTCTGTCCCCCCGCCCCCGAGCCAAGGCCAGGAGTGGGGACGGGATGCGAACAGGGGTAAGGGGGCCAAGGCCACAACTGGGGGCAGGTGTGTGGCCAGAAGCTGGGGCCCCGGGCCAGCAGTTGGGGCCCCGGGCCGGGAGCGGAGCCCCGGGTGCAGGGCCGGCAGCCAGGGTCAGAAGCAGAGCTGGGTGGCATTCCCTCCCTGCCCCGCATGGGGGTTGGCCCAGGCCCCAGCTGCACCCCCCTGAACAGTCCTCCACCCGTCCCGTGCGGAGGGGGGCGCTCCACAGTTTGGGAACCTCTGGACTAGAGGCATCTATGAGGCTCATTACCTTGAGCAGTTTGCAATAACCACAACTTTGAAAACCACTGTGATTAATGAACATTAATCTTCCACTTGGTCATAACATCAGGGCACTAACCCACATAGGTTTACAACAGATTTCTATGGTGATGGGATCAGTTTCAAGGAAATTATCTGATCACAACAGAAACAACGAGGAGTCCGGTGGCACCTTAAAGACTAACAGATTTATTTGGGCATAAGCTTTCGTGGGTAAAAAAACCCACTTCTTCAGATGCATGGAGTGAAAATTACAGATGCAGGCATTATTATACTGACACATGAAGAGAAGCGAGTTACCTTACAAGTGGAGAACCAGTGTTGACAGGGCCAATTCAATCAGGGTGGATTTGGTCCACGCCCAATAATTGATGAGGAGGTCTCAATACCAAGAGAGGGAAAATTGCTTTTGTAGTGAACCAGCCACTCCCAGTCCCTATTCAAGCCCAAATTAGTGGTGTTAAATTTGCAAATTAATTGTAGCTCAGCAGTTTCTCTTGGAAGCCTGTTCTTGAAGTTTTTTGTTCAAGTATGGCTATTTTAAAATCTGTTATAGAATGTCCAGGGAAATTGAAGTGTTCTCCTACTGGCTTTTGTATGTTACCATTCCTGATGTCTGATTTGTGTCCATTTATTCTTTTACGTAGAGACTGTCCAGTTTGGCCAATGTACATGGCAGAGGGGCATTGCTGGCACATGATGGCATATATCACCTTAGTAGATGTGCAGGTGAATGAGCCCCTGATGGTGTGGCTGATGTGGTTGGATCCTCTGATGGTGTTGCTAGAGTAGATATGGGGACAGAGTAGGCAACGGGGTTTGTTACAGGGATTGGTTCCTGGGTTAGTGTTTCTGTGGCGTGGTGTATAGTTGCTGGTGAGTATTTGCTTCAGGTTGGGGGCTGTCTGTAAACGAGGACTGGCCTGCCTCCCAAGGTCTGTGAGAGTGAGGGATCGTTTTCCAGGATAGGGTGTAGATCGTTGATGATGTGCTGGAGAGGTTTTAGCTGGGGGCTGTATGTGATGGCCAGTGGTGTTCTGCTATTTTCCTTGTTGGGTCTGTCCTGTAGTAGGTGACTTCTGGGTACCTGTCTCGCTCTGTCAATCTGTTTCTTCACTTCCCCAGGTGGGTATTGTAGATTTAAGTAAAACTTGAGCGAGACGGGTACCCAGAAGTCACCTACTACAGGAAAGGACCAACAAGGAAAATAGCAGAAAACCACTGGCCATCACATACAGCCCCAAGCTAAAACCTCTCCAGCACATCATAT